TTATAGTACCTCTTATTTCTAAATTACCTTAACCTTTTTTAAATTTACTTAAATGCTTACTTTAGCTATAATAATAAAGCCTAAGTACTTTACCTCCTTTACTATAAACTTATACTTATCTTAATCTAAGTTTAACCCAACATTTTATAAATAATATAAAACCTTCCGCACCTTCCTTATATAATTTCTCTTTAAGCCTAAGGAAAATATTAATATATTATTTAAATATATCATTATATAGTTTTTTAAAATATTAGCTAAGATTAAGTTAATATATTACTAGAATATAATAGGTGCATTAAATAAATTAAAGAGATAAATTAGCTATTTAAATAACTTAAATTAAATTTAAAATGCCGTTAAATGCTCCTACCTTTTTACTATTTATATTTAATAAAAAGCCGCATAAATATTTAGCTTTATAAACTATTAAGCATTAAAGAAAGAGTATAATATTTCCTTAATAAAGAAAAGGGGGTAATAATCTTGCTAAGTTATTTTATTAAGAGCATAGTAATTTATATAAAATTGCTACCCTTTATTTACCTTGCATATTAAAAGGATTAAGGCCGCTATAGGTAAAAAGCTAGCTTTTATTTAGCCCTTATTATAAAGTTTTATAACTTATTTCTATAGCTTAAATAGCTAATCCTAAGGCATATTATATAATAAGCCCTATAGCAATGCCAGCGCGAACTTATTCTTTGCTAATAATAAATAAATATAGTAATTAAATTAACCTTAATATAATAAAAGGCGAAAGCTTATTCCTTATTAAAGAAACTAGTAAAGTCCTGCATTTCCTTTAGCAAGGGCTTAGCCTTATACTATTTCATATTATTATTATCTCTCTTTTAAGGAGCTATAGCTTAAAGAATTTATATAACCTTACTTAAGTTTATTTTTATTAAGGTAATATCCACTATCTTATTGCAAGATAAGCAATTTATTTACGCCTTTATAACTGCTTTAAAGATTAACTAGGCTAAATTACTTATATCTTACTAGCTCTCCTCCTTTATAACTATCCCTTAAGCTGCGCTAATTATTATATGGCTATAAGTTAAGTTTAGCAGAACGTTATAATAACGTAATTAAGGTAGGCTTAGTAAAAAGAAATAAGCCATGCTTAAAACTATATAAGTTAAGATAAGGGCTTATTATGCATTAATATTTAAGGAAAGCTATATTATATATATAATATATTGGCTTTGCAATAAGCTAATAACTATTTTTAAGTTTTTTAAAATAAGTAAAGCTATTAACTTTAATTTTACCTTTTATGCTTATTGCTTATTTATAATGGCATAATAGCTATATTTATTATTTATTTAGGTAATAATAATATGCTTATAATTTATAATAATAAGAATTAAGAAAGAAAGCTTATTTAATTTATTTTATACTTATTAATATTATTTCTATATAAATTAGGTTTATAAAGGGGGCTTATGTTTTTAAGCAAAACTTTACTTAAAAGCTAGTTTTTTCCCTTAAGGTTAATAAAGTTCTCTTTATAAGGTATAGCTAGCTTTATAACTTAAACTTAGGTTAATATAATTATAAAAAGGAGTTTATAGTTTATTATAAAGTATCCTTATTAGTTGTAATATAGGCATGCCTTATGCCCTTGCTAAGCCTCCCTTTTAAACTTAGAAATCCAGAGTACTTTAGCTTAGCCGTTAGCTAGCTAAAAGGAAGAGGCGCCTTAATGCTTTTGCAGCCCCTTATTTTTAATGCCTTAGCCCCTTATTATACCTATTATAATTATATTTATTATTACTATATTCCAACCTATTATTTATTACTCTTAAGCTAAGAGCTTTAAGGGGCATAAGGTTAAGCCTATATATTATTAGCATTTAAGGTTTTATGCCTTTAGCTTATAAATAATTTAATGATATATATTTATTGCTTTATTATAATCTATATATAAGATTAATGCCTTAATAGCCTTATTATAAAGCTATAAAAAAAGCTAATTATAAAAGTAATTTAGCTTTATTTTGTTTAATTACTTAAGGCCCTTAGCTTGCATTATTAGTTATTTAAATTAAATATAAAATTAAGTAAAGCCATTATAATTTTATATTTAAAATATCTTAAGCTTAGTTAAAGCAGCTACTTATTAATATAGGTTTTTATAATAGCGCTTTAAATATTTAAAGAATTTATTTATATTAAAGCCGTTTTAAAGCTTACTCTGCTTATAAAATGCTATAATGTATAATTATATCTTAATAAATAGCTAACTTTATAAAAAGATTTAATATTTTTAAAAACTTTTAATAAAGTTTATATTAATTTACAGCTTATGTTGTATTATAATCTTTTAAACTAAAAAGCTATCTTAATTATTATTAAATGGGGGCTTAATTAAAAGCAGCTTGCATTAAATTAAGAATAAATTAAAAGGGTTTATGCGCATTTTAAGCTTTGCAAGTTGGTAAAGTATTGCCATAAGGAAAGATATAGCGGCATTATTATTAATATTAATAGGCATTATTATAAATAGCTAAAAGGGGTAAGGCGCTTTTTAAGCGTTTTTATAGCTTAATATTAAAGTAAGTTAGGGAATTTTTAGCTATATCTTATAAAAAGGTTAACATTTTAGGTATAAGGTTGTTTGCCTTTATAATATAAGTATCCTCCCTTAATATAATTTAGAAATTGTAATTTAATATTATAGGTTGGCTTTAAGCATTTATTAAAAAATACTTAAAAAAAGTTATAAATTGCAATATTTAAAAAGTAAGTTAAGCCTTAAAAGGGCTTAACTCTGGATTTATCTTTTAAGTGTGTGCCCCATCACGTGAAAGGGTTGGGTGCAATGTGAGCTCGGCACGGGCATGCATTACGGCTTGGGCAATAGCCTAAGCCCATTATAAATATATTAAATAAGCGTTTACTTTTTAATTAAATTAAGTTTATATTATTTAATATATAATTTTTTAAGATTGCATTATTAATTTATTTTATAATATAAAGTTATTTTAAGAATATTAAAGATCTTAATAGCTTAAATAATTAAAAATATTTTATCTTTTTTAAATAAAGAATATACATTTTTATTATTAATTTCTTATGCATTAAATATTTAATTAAGTGGATTAATATAGGATTAATATAAAAATTAAGGATGTAATTAGCATTAAAAATAACTTATTTCATTAAAACCTTAATAATTTCTAATTATATTATATTACCTTTAACCCCTTTAAATTAATAAAATTAATTAAAAATAAAGAATTAAATATAGTTAGCATTAATTAATATTAACTTTTTATTAATTTATTTACCTTAATATAGTGTTATAATTAATAAAAGTTGAATAAAGTTAGAAAAATCCACTACTTAGTAATATTTGCTACTTGGTGGTAAATTACGTTATAGGTTTTTATAGTAAACATTATAAAAAGTGAAATTAATAAAATAAAGAAATATTAATAAAATAAATAATATTTAAAAATAAATTAATAATAATAGTTTAATGGTAAGTAAGTTATAGTTATTAAAAGGAAGAAGTTATTAATTCCCTTAGGCCTTAAAAGCTAAGGCCTTTTCTTATTATTAAGTCCTTTTATATTAATTAAAAGCATAATGCATAACTTATGCTTATTTATAATATAGTGTGATGGGCTTGGGCTGGAAGCCTAAGCCTTATATAGTGTGGCTAGGTAATCCAAGGGAGCTTGGATTATTACGTACCTTTTGGCTTAGATAGCTATAAGGTTGCTAGCAAAACTAGCTTATGGAAGAAGGCGCTAGCCAGCCTGCAGCCCCTTTGGGGCCAGCCCAAAACATATAGCATTGCATTAACTTTAGCAATTATAATAATTATAAGCTTTATTTATTAATAAAATAAAGCTTTATTAAGTTTTATTAAGTTTTAAAAAGGAGTTAAAAATAGGTTTATTTTTAATAAAGTTTTATGCATAATAAATATATATTTCTTAAATAGCAATAAATATATATATAAATATTGCAGGGAATGCTATTTAATTTATTTAATTTTTATAATATTTGCTTAGGAAATTTAATAATATAGGGAGGCTTAAAGAAGTAATTATTATTATATAGCGCTTATTAATAAAGAGGATGTAATTTTTAAATTAAGGAAATCTTTATAAGGTTACCTTTTTTACCTTATTAATTTATAATGCTTATAATTATTAATTAGTATTAATAGGTTTCTTATATATATAATAATTGTATAGGAAGCAATTATGTATTGATATTATTCTGTCTAAGTTTTAAGAGGCTACGTGCCCCGGAGGGGATAACTAAAGTAGCCTTCTAAGTGCGAGGGTCGTACTTGCCAACATCGCTCATCGTAATGCCTATTCTACAGTACACGCGTTACTGCTCTGGTGGCAGGAGAATGACATCCACCCGGAAAAGGAAGTCGGCACTTTGAAGGCCCTTCTTGAAAATGACTTCCGATTTGAAATCTCAACATTTCAAATTCCAAAGGACGGAACACACAAGTCATCATTGAAGAAGGAGATCATGAATACTGTGGACAATCACTCCAAGCAAGATTCTTTGCTTATTGTGTACTATGCTGGACACTGCGATCCAGATGAGCGTGGGCGTGCGCGCTGGGCTGCGTAAGTCATGCCTTTGGGACCCTTCAAACCGCTTAGAATCCTTTGAATCGTGTCTCATGGGCCCTTGTTTCAGTTTCGAGAAAGGGGGGCCTACTCTATCGTGGCATGTTGCCCAGCAACTGCTCTTCGACGCCGAAGGAGACGTGCTTCTCATCCTGGACTGTTGCAACGCAGCCTCCATTGCTTCTGGGGTGAAGGAAACAGGGCGATTTGAAATGATAGCAGCATGTGCCAAGAACAACAAGACAGTGGCGCCGAGCAACTCGTCCTTTACCCGCATTCTCATCAAAGAACTCAAGCCAATGGCTGAGTTGGGAGTCTACACCGATACCCTCGCCGACAAGATTAGAGAGAACAACAGAATCACGGGCAAGTGATCGCCCCAAGACCATGCACCGGGATTTAGCTGATCGAACGGCCGCGGAGGGTATAGAAACCCCTGTGTTCCATGACTTTGCTCAGAAATCTGACACCAAGATACGGCTACGACGACTTCAAGACCCACAGCCGCAAGGCTTCTCTAAGAAACCCGCTGGATACATGGTCTTCCTCGTTTCATTGGCTGACGATATCAAAGGACAGACGATCGCCAACTGGTTGAAGGTGGCAGCACCAAAGGAGATCGCAGCTGTGGACATCGAGGCCCTGGTACTCCGGGCCCGCCAACTCGAAGGACTGCAAGACGGAGCCTTCACCCCTGGGTCCATGCTCGGAAAACTGAGCCAGTCTGCGAAAAATGAGATCGTGCAGGCCTTGCGAGGTCTCCACACGACCATGGCGCTCACCTCCCAGCATGCCGAGCACGATCAGGCTTCGGAAGTCGAGGACAGGACTACACGGGTGGCCCAGACTGACTTCGGTGCGATCCAACGGTCCGTCTCTGCGGTCTGCAGTGCCGTCGAGACCCCGGTGTTACAAGACCTCGACGAGACCGACCAGCAATTGGCAGAACAGGATCCGTTGATCGCGACGACGGGTACGAGGGGTGCTCTTTCTCTGCGAAAGGCCGTGCTAAGCCCTACGGGGGGATCTGAGGAAGCGACAGAGATCCCGAGCGAGAAGCTGCGGTACGACAGGAACTCGGACGATGTCTCAACACGAAAGCTTGCCACGCTGGGGCAGGACCGGGTCCTGATAGAAATCTTTTACTACGATGAAAGCCCCCAGGACGAGCAGCTCCCAGGACCACATACGCAGGTCCAGAGGATGGCCAAATTACTCTGCCAGGCCGAGCCGCTTAACTTTCATGTCCTTCCCTGTCAGGGCTTCTTTCACAACGAAGTTCGACGTGAGATCGGGCTTGTCTTCAAGATCCCTTTCGAAATGGAGGATAAAGTCCAGCCCACGACACTCTTGCAGCTATATGCGAGGTATCCCGTGATGCCGCTCGGCCACCGGATCCACCTGGCACAATCTCTCGTCAATGCGATTGACCACTTTCACCGTGTTGGATGGGTCCACAAGAGTATCAGGAGTAACAACATTGTCTTCATTCCGTCATCGATTCCCTTAGAGGACGGGGTTGTTGAGGAGGCAAGCCACCATGAGAGTGGCAATAGCTCAGCGCGCTGGAAATAATTTGATCTCTTGAATCCGTACATCTTTGGGTTCGAGTACGCCCGGCCGGGAGAGGTGGGAACAAGCATGTTGGAAGACTACTCTCTCGATAACAACCTGTATCGCCACCCGGATCGATGGGGCAACCCCAGAGTAAAGTTTGAGAAGATGCACGACATCTATGCCCTGGTACGTTTCTTCCCCCACCCGTAGCCATTTGATAACTTCGTGGGACACATCAGAATCGAGTCTGACTCCGAACCCGGGTCGTCTCTGGACGCAACAGGCAATAGTCCTCCTAGAAATTGCGTTATGGAAGGATATCAAGTCCATCGTGAAGAAGCAGCCAGGGCAGCGAGTGGTGTCAAAGGATGTGAAGAGCAAGGCGAAGGACATGTGCCAGAGCCAACTACCCCATCGAGTGGGCCATCTCTTTGCGCAGGCCATCCTGACATGCTTGGAATTCACTGATCTGACAAAGGGGATGAGCGAGTATGAGTCTCAGACGTACTTCCAACGTAATGTGGACAGTAGGATGAGAATAGTGGCAGGGCAAGTTTAGACCTTCTGGCCGTAGATAGGGTTGGCCGACCAAGCATGTAGGGTAGGCTAAAGGGACAACAACATAACAGCTCACAGTTCTGGTATCTGTGAATGTGTTCGCAGCTTGGTTAAGTACCACATCCACTGGCCATAATGCGGACATTTCTAAGTAGTTCAACGTGTGGCGGCCTAGTACAGGACGGCCCGTCGTTCTCGGCCGCCGGCTTGGGTATAGTCACACCAAGATATCGTGAGACCATCCTCCTGGGCCGGTGGGTCACACCAACGCCAAAGTGAGCAATTTAAACAGTCCGTTGGGCTGGGCTCGCGCTTCTTTGTGGTGTGGTACTAAATCTTGCTCGGCGTCGCAATTTTTGATGGATGATGGAATGAGCCGCAGTATGGCAGGCTGCTTCTGTGGAAGGCTATAAGTGTCGTGAGGGGTTTGAAAGCATGATTGTAAAAGCGTTTATCTCCTAAGAGTAGTTTAAAAGGAGGAAATAAAAGAAATTTAGCTATTTAAGCATTTTAAAAAGTAATTGCAAACTAAGGTTAAAGATATATATATAATATACTCCTTAATTAAAAGGCAATTTTTACTTTATTAATTACCTTATTTTTTTAAATAATTAATTTATATTTAAAAAATATTAATTATAATTTATTAAGTAATTAATTATTTAACCTTTTTATAATATATATACTTTATTATTTAAACTTTAGCTATTTATAACTTTATAATATAGCTTATAATTAATAATTAAATCTTTTTTTTAAACTTTTTAATTCAATTTATATTTAAAAATATTTATTTTTATTAATTTTAAGTATTTTTTTAATTATATTAAAAATAATTAAAAGTAATAAAAAATAAGCTTTTAAGCCTTAAGTTATTTTATTTTTTTATATTTTTAAGATTTTTAAAAAAAAATATAAGTATATTTAAATTAATAAAAAGCTTATTAATAAAGATAATAAAAGCTTTAATATTTTTATTAAAATGTTATTAAATAATATACTTAAAAGTAAGTTTCTTAATTAATTTAAAAATTAATTTTAAAGCATATATTAATTTTTAATATAACTTTAAAAAACCTTTAAATATATATAAATAGCTTAAAGCTTAAAATAAAACTCCTTTTTAAGAAAAAGATTAAAATAAAGCATAAAAAAAAAGAAAAATATAAAGAAGCTTAAAAAACTTAATAAGCATTATATTCTTTATCTTTCTTATATTAAAAGTTTTATATATAATTATAATAATAATTTTTATATAAATTATAATAATAAAAGTAATTATTATTATTATTATATTTAAAGTAATTCTTATAAGTTGCTTTTAATATTTCTTTTATTATTTATGCTTTATTTTTATTATACTTAATTTAATAATTTCTTAATATTTAAAAAGTTTTAATATATTTAAAAGGAAGCCTTAAATATATATAAATATAAAGAGTTTAATTTTATTTATATTAATTATATTTTTATAATTTCTTTTAATATTTAAAAGATTTTTATCTTATAATAATAGCTTTTAAAGGCTATAAAAAATAAGTATAAAAATATAATAAAGCGCTTTAAAGCTTAAATTATAATTACTTTAAAGTAATATAATAAGGTTAATATAAAGGCTTAAAAGCTTTAAAATTAAGTTATTAATAATATAGAAATTATAAAAAAGTATAAGGATTATATTATTATTATAATTAAGTATTTTAATTTTAAGGGTAATATTAAAAAATAAATATTATTAAATTTTAATTTAAAATTATAATTAAGAATTTAATTAAAGGTTAAAAAAGTTTTTTAAAAAAGTTAAGAAGTTATTATAATAATTAAAAAAAGGTTTTAAATTAATTAATATATTATTATAAAGTTTAAAAGGTAGTTTTTAATTATAAAATAATTTTTATATAAGAATTATATTATAATTTTTAAAAAGTATAATTTTTAGGATTTTTAATAAAAACTTAATAATAAAAATAATTATTAGGAATTGTGCACCTAAAGCCATAGGGAATAGAATTGCTTAATAGACCAATTTGAACAGGCTGGCGCAACCTTTTAATGTACTATTCTTAATAAATGGTAGCTACAACGGTTATCTTGGCTGATAGCTTGGCTTATAACTACCCATGCCAAGGTTGCAAGTTTAATCCTCGCTATGCCCGGGCCTTAAGCGTATTAGCATTGCCAGTGGGAGAACACAAATAATAGCCCATGGATAGGGTGCGGTAGCACTAAACCAGCGATACCTAGGAGGCCCTATAATAGCTTATACGGACGTAAGTTACTTTATCCGTGATGCCCTAATTGTTAGGAATTATGCACTTAAAGCCATAGGGAATAGAATTGCTTAATAAACCAGTTTAAACAGGCTGGCGCAACCTTTTAATATATTATTCCTAATAATAATTAATAAATAAATTAATCTCTTTTTATTATTTTTTTTATATTTTAAAGATTTAAAAAAGCTTTAAAATATTTAAATTAAGTGCATAATAAAACTTTAATAAGTTTATTTATAAGCATTTTCTTAATTTTTAAATATATAATATTAAAAGTACTTTTTTTAAATTCTTATTTTAATTATATTTATTAAATATTTATATATTTAAGTTTTATTTTTAATTATTTATATTTATTAATAATTAAGTATATAATTATTTAATTATTATAATAAATAATTTAAGGCTTATTTAAATTTAAAATTATGTTTTTAAATAAGCATTTTAAAGTTATTATTTCTTTAATTATAAGCTTTAAAGTTAATAATTTAGCTTTAATAATTAAAATAAAAATAATTGCTTATTTATATACTTTTTAATATATAAGGCCCTTAAAAAAAGTTATTATATATCCTTAAAAAGATTTTTAATTCTTTTTATTATTAATAAATAAAGTATTTTTAATTATTAAAAGTACTTAAGCTTTTTAATTCCCTTTAAATTATAATTTAAAGAATTAAGTAATATATAAATATTAAATTATATAATTTATTATTTTAAGGTAATTTAAACTTAAGTTTATAAGGAATTTTAATAATATAAAGTAAGGAAATGCTATATTTAAGTATATTATAATTATTATATAAAGAATAAAATTAACTTTTTTTTAAAACTTTTAAATCTTTTATTTTAAGGCTTATTTAAAAAAAAGCTTAAGCTCTTTTTTAAGCATTAAAGTAAATAATAAAAAGTTTTTATTTCTTAATAAATTATATTTATTTATTATTTTTTTAATATATAAGTTATAAAAGAGCATTATAATATATTTTTTTTAATCTTTAAGAATTTATATGCTTAAGAATTATTAAGCCTTTCTTTAATTCTTTATTTTATATATAAACTTAATTTTATTTTTAATTTTTATAAAGAATTTATATTTATTTTTAAAATATATAATTAAAATATTATTTATATAAAAAAGGATTATTACTTTATAAGTTAAGTTAATAAAAAGGTATAGCTTTTTTAATAAAGGTTTTAAGCTTAAATTTTATAATATATAGCTAAAATCTTTATATTAAAGAAATAAAAAGTTTTTAAATTTATAAAGTATTCTTAAGAGCACTTTATATTTCTTTAATTCCTTAAATTTATTAAGTAATTTATATTAAATTTAATTTAATTCTTTTTAATTAATATTTAAAAATATAATTATAATATTAAATTATTAAATCTTTAAATTAAAGTATATAATAATTATTATTATTATATAAAATAATTTTATAATTAAGATTATATATATATATATTTTTTATAATAAAATAAGGTTATAAATTTCCTTAAATATAAATTTATATCTTAAAAAATTTAATTATTTTATTTTTATTAAGCTTATATTTATATATTTATTTTAAAAATAATAGCATTAATTTTACTTTTTAGCGCTTAATAATTCTTTAAATATTAAGCTTAATAAGGCTTTGCATTTCTTAATATATTATTTTAAGCTATTTATCTTAAAAAGAGCTTTTTTAAGCTTTTTTTTATATAATTAATTTTAAAGAGAAATTTTTATAATATTACTATATTAAGTAAGGCTTAAACTTAATTTTAAGGGCTTAAATAATAGCTATTATTATATTATTTAAAATTAAAAAATATAAATTCTTAAGTATTTTTTATTTTTATTTTTTAAGCTAATTAAATAAAAAAGTAATTATAAAATTACTTTAAAAAGTTATATTAAGGTAAAATATAATTATATTTATTAAATATAATAATTAATTAAAGAATTCCTAAGAGCATTTATTTTAATTATATATTTAAGAAGATCTTTTTATAAATTTAAACTCTTAAATTTATTTTTATATCTTTTTTATTAATATTAATTAAAAAGATTTTTAATTTCTTATAACTTTAAGTATATATAATTTTTAAAAGAAAGGTTTAAGTTTATTAGCCCTTATTTTATTAATAAAAGTATATTCTTTTAATAAAAGCCTTATTTTAATATATTTAGGGTTTTTTTAAGGATTAAAAGTTCTTATTTTTAATTTTTTAAGCTTTTTAAAAAAGCAATATATAGTAAACTTTACCTTTTAAATTTAAAAGTCTTTACTTTTAAGTTTTAATTAAAAGTATTAATTTTATTTTTTTTAATATAAAATAAATATTAAATTTATTATTTAAATTAATTAAGTTATTTTTTATATAAGATATTAAGGGTATAATATAAATATAATTTTAAATTTCCTTAATATTAGCAATTTTAATATTTAATAATTTTACTTTAAGAATTAAAAGGTTGTTTTTTATTTTATTTATTATTAATTTATAAAATATATTCTTATTAAATTATATATTTCTTATAAAAATTATTTACTTAAATAAAGAAATTTAAATTTAAAAAATATTAAATACTATATAATTAATTAAATACTTAATATAAGCTTTTAATTTTCTTTTTATAAAATATTTCTTTATATTATTTTTATATTCCTTTTTAAGCATATATGCTTTATATTTATAAGCATAAATATTATCTTAATAAGGCAATAAATAAGCTATAAAATGGTAAATTTATATTAATTTAAATTATTAAAAATAATAGGAAAATTATATATATAAAAAAGTATTTAAGATACATTCTTTTTTCCTTAAAGCAAGCAATATATTATATAATTAAGCTATAGCTTATATTGCCTTTACTTAAAAGTTAAAAAGTAAATTAGCTCTTAATAATATAGCTAAAGTATATTTAATTATTGCTTTATTAACCCTTTTTGCAGCGTTATTTACTTTTAAGGTTTAAAAAGAAGCGAGTTTTAAATTAATATTTTTTTATTTTACTTATTTAATATATTTAATATTTATAAATTAGTTAATTATTATAGCTTTATGTTATGGGCTAGCCTTGGGTTGTCTGCCGTAAGGTGTCTAAATGGGGTTTATATTTAAAGTGTAGAGGAGAAGGTTTACTTCCCGTCTACATTCACGCTAAAGCCTATTCTTATAGGGCCAAAGCCTATTAATTAATTATAATGGGTAAAGCCTAAACCATAACATATCCTTCTTTTCCAAGTCTTTATGGCGAGCCTTAAAAGGTAGCTATATAATAAAAAATAAAGGATATTATAGTTTAATTATGAATTAAATATTGCTCTTTGCTTAGCCATTTAATTATACCTTAGCGCCTTTTAATTATATTAAAGGCTTAGCTTATTATTTATAATTAGCATATTTTAATCCTTATAATTTAATATATTAATTAAAGTAAGTTAATAAAAAATAATTATTTAAGCATAAGCTAGCGGTTAAATTAATAGCATTTTTATAATCTTTTAATATAAGCCTTTTATATAAGCTTCCTTACTTAAAACCTTAAAATCATAGATTTATTATATAATTTATAATTAATTAATGCTTAATTATAAGTAATTTACTTTATTAATAAGAATTTTCTAAATTTTAAGTATTTTTATAATATTAAATTAGCTAATATATAATTAATTTACTTTAAATTTAGGTTAGCGCTAAGCTAATATTGCTTTTAAACCTTACCTTATAGAAAAATTTTACGCTCCCTTAAATAAACTCCTTCCCCTTACTAGTCTTAATTAATAAAAGCTATACCCTTATTTTCTTATAATAATTAAAATAATTATACTTATAATAGCTAAGTTAATTATATATAAAATACTTAACTTTGCTTATTAAGATCGTTGCAATATTAATATTTATTACTTTGCCGTTTTAAGGTTAAGTATTATCCTTTCTTATTATAGTATTAAAAATGCCTTTATATCGCTATAAGATAAAGCAAAAGGCCTTAAATATATTTAGCCACTCCTTATAATTAAGCTAAGTTTTCGCTATAAAGATTAAATTATTAGCTATTAATAATATTTTATATTTATTTAGTTAACTTTAAGCCTTTATTATATAAGCTAATTAATTAAATTAAGCAAGAAATTTTATTATTTCCTTTTTATAGCATTGCTATAATATAATTAAGCTAAGCTTAACATACCTTTATTTAAAAGGGTTCTTAAATGCAAGGCAAACCCTTTTTAAAAAGCTTTTTAGCTACTTCTTAAATATCTTTATAAAATTAATATAAGGTAAAAATTAATTACAGAAAGTTCCTAGCTAATTAAATATATAAAAGAATTAAGCCCCTTTAATGCTAATTGCTTCCTTATTTATTGCAAACTTAGCCCTTATCTTTATTTGCTAAGTTGCTAAGTATTTTTAAGATAAAAGTTCCTTTAAATAAAAAAGAACTTAATAAGCTGCCGTTATTCTTTTTAAGTCTTGCTATATTAAATTTTATATAATTACATTATAAGTTTATAGTATAAAAGGACTTTAAATATATATTATAAGCTAGCCTTGGGTTGTTTGCTATAAGGTATTTAAATAGGGTTTATATTTAGAGTATAAAGGAAAAGGTTTACTCCTCGTCTGCATTCGCGCCGAAGCCTATTTTTATAGGGCCAAAGCCTACTAACTAATTACAATGAGCAAAGCTTAAACCGTAATACTTTAGCATTTTATTTAATTTTATAAATATTTAAATTATATTATTATTTTATTTAGCTTTTATAAACTTAAAAAATATTAAATACTTATTTTTAAGTTTTTAATATAAAAAAGAAAATATAAATAAATTTTAAGAATTTATTTATTATTATAAGCTTATAATTTAATTTATTTAATGCTTATAAATAATAAAAAAGATTTTATAAGATTAAAAAAAAGAGTTTTAAGCTTTTATTTTTTAATAGCTTATATTAAATTATCTTTTTAATAAAGGCTTTAAAGCAATTTTTATAATTAATTTATTTAATTTTCTTAAATTTTATACTTTAAGTATATTAAATTAATAATTTAAAAGCGTTAATCTTTAAATATTTAAATTAAAGATATTAAAAGGTTATTAAGTTCTTTTAATCTTTATTTAAATATTAAAAGGGCTTAAAAGATTTTATTAAGTTTATTAAAAAAATTATAAACTTATATATATTTATAATGCTTATAAATATTTATTATAAAAGGTAAAAATAAAGAAATTATAATAATATATATTTAAGAAAAATTAAATTATATTATTAAATAAATTTAAGAAGAATAATGCTTTATTTAAGTAATTTAAAGCATAGCATTAAATTAATTCCATAATATTAAATGCTTAATTTTTATAAAAGCGCTTTTAATATTATATTAATATAAAATCTATTTATAATTATTATATTTTTTAAAATTAAATCCTTAATTCTTTTTTTATTTATTTTATATAATATATTTTTAAAGCACCTTATTTTATAACTTAAAACCTTTAAGAATAAGGTTCTTACTTTAATAATATTTATTTTAATAGCTTTTTTAAAAGTACTTAAAATTAAAGAATTAATAAAGTTAATAAAATAAATAACGCTATAATTATTTAAAATTATACTTAAGGAAGAATATAATATAAAATTTAAGGTTATATATATTTTTAAGGAATTAATTATAATTAATAATTATAATAAATTAATTAAAATATAAATAAATTAATAAAAAGTTAATAAAAATATAATAAAGATATTATTAATTAATTAAATTTTTAAAATTAAGATTTAAAAAAGTATAAGTTTGCCTTATAAGGAAAAATAAAATAAAAAAAGGAAATTAAAATATTATTTCTTAATAACTTTTAAAAATATATTTAAGAGGGTTTTTAATATTTTTAATAAACTTTATATTTAATCTTTAAATAAAATTTTTTTTAAATAAGCTTTTAAATTAAGTTTTTATAATAATTTTTTTTTTATATTTTAATTTTATTATATTTCAATCTCTTTAAAAATATTTTTAGCTTTAAGATTTATTTTCTTAAAAAGTATAAAATAAAGGCAATAATAATTAATAAAAAGTTAAATATATTTCTTTTATTAATTAATTTTTTAATAAAAATACTTATATATTTTATTTTATTAATATAATTAAAATAATATATTTTTATTTCTTAATTATTTTTTTAATTAATTATTTTTTATTTTAAAAGGTATTTTTAATTTTAATATAATAAATATTATAATATTTTTAAAGATTAATATAAGCTTATTATAATATAAAAATACTATTAATTCTTTAAATAAGGTTTTTAAGGGATAAATAAAATTTCTTAGCATATTTTATTTAATAAGTTTTTAATACTTAAAAATTACTTAATTAAAGGTAATATATATTATAATTATTTATAAAAAGTTATTTAAATTAATAAATGCCTTAATTTTAAGTAACTTATAAATATAAGCTTATAAATATAAATTTATAAAGTTTTAATATTATTATTATAATTTAATATTTAATTTCTTTACTTTTTTTAAGTATTATTAATATTAAGTTTAAAGAGTATTTATTATGCTTAATTTAAAGAATATAAGATTATTTTTAATATTTTAAATTATTTATTAAATAAAAAACTATTTTATATTTATTATTTTAATTAAATATAAAAAAAGAATTAAGTTAAATATTATTTTTTATATTTATCTTTAAATTTCTTTATTTTTTATTAAATTTAATTACCTTATTAAAAGCTAAAATAATTTATTATTAAAGATATTAATTGTATTTTTTTTTAATTTATTAAAGGATAAGAAAGAAAATAAAATAAGTATTATTTTATTTTTTAAAAGCTTATTATTACTTAAATGCTTTTAATATTTATTATATAAAGCCTTTTAAATATTTTTTTTTATATTATATAAATTAAAAATTTAATTTTAAGATTATATTTAATTACTTAATAAGGGCTATATTTAATATATTAAGGTTTATAAATTTATAATACCTTTTAATTTAATAATAAAATTATAATATAGCAAATTAAGTAAAAAAGAAATAAATATTTAAATAAATTACTTAATTAATAAGGTTTAAAAAAGTATTTATAATTATTATATAAATATATATTTAAAAATTAAAAGAAATAAATAATATAAAATAAATATAATTAAGATATGCTTTATATAATTTATTTATAGCTTATAAAAAGGAAAGATTATTTTATATAAACTAGGTTTATAATTATAAAAGGCTATAAGTATTATAAGGGGTTTAAAAGCATAATTATAAAAGCATTTATCTCTTAAGAATAGTTTAAAAGGAGGAAATAAAAGAAATTTAGCTATTTAAGCATTTTAAAAAGTGGTTGCAAACCAGGGTTAGGGATGTACGTGCAACAGCTTCCCCAGCGCTAAGCATCAACTAGGGCAAATACATTCTGTCTGTCTAGGCCAACACAGCAAATCCATCCTGGTGCCAAGTTTCGGCAACTTGAATGACAAGCAACCCATGTCACATCCTGAGCAGCCTTGTTTAACGGTCACGCAGACTTTGGCCAAGCCCTAAGGCAGACATACTTCCACGTATGAGTGCCCGTGCACCTCACACTGACGTATGTCTGTCTCCCTTTGGCCTCCTGGGACTCAAGCCGTTAGATCGGCAGGCATATCTACGAGCAAGGAATAACCCACGAAAAGCAGTCCTATGGCACCCAATAGGGTGTACAAAATTTAAGAATGAGGTTACACTGCGTGGATATTCCTAAAGAAGGTTACAAGGCTGCCCACTAGGAAAAGCCTGTTCAGTTGAGTTTTCGCTCCCACGTTTCGGAATTACACGACCTATCGGTGAGCTTGACGAAAAGGCAAAACCGCACACACGCTGTCTTAGCATGATTTTATGATCAACGCAACGTGCAGTCGACTGAACGGGAGGAAGCAGGTGAATTCATTCGGACTTCCCCGATTCCAGCCGCAGGGCTCGATAAGCACCTCCCGTCCCAAGTTCTTCAAATGCATACGACTCAGCAGGACGTCATCCAACACAACGACCCACGAGTAGAAGAGGCGAAACCATTGACGGTCCGATTCTGGCCTCATTGGATATGTCATATCGTTCAATGTTACGCTTTCGCAGTGTCAACGCTGCGTCGTGTTGGACCTTGAGATGGCTAGCCTCAATGGTGACGGGAAGCTCGGATGAAACCCCGCGGCGACAGAGTCAAACATGGACCCTGTGTATTTAGCATACCAAATAATTTTGCTGCGAAGAATGTGGCCTGACAAGAGGATGAGGTTGGGCTACCAGAGAGTTTTCAGACTTAAGCAGCAGTCTCTCGCTGATTTATTATCGCGGTGCAGCAAGTTTCGCCTCAAGTCGCCCGCGGTCAAGGTGAGCTCCTCGGTCACACAGATGGGGGTCACGACTGAACTCGGACGCAGGATGGGTTCAAGCCTGTGGGTGTACACACACGAACCAACCCTCGCTTGATCTGGCCCATCTTGCGCAGTCGGAAACACTCGGAGCCTCAGTTGCTGATTGAAACTTGTGAACCCAAAGTAGTCACTACAGCACGTTGTCACTCACATGACTGGATTTTCTGTGTTCTAAAAAGCCGAATTCCGCTTTCGCTGTAGCTTAACGGGTAAATGCCGTGATACATGCAATTCGTAATGATACGTATCAACACAAAGAATCGAACCACCACATGAGATATATGCAAACTCGCACCGTATGTATATGAAAGAAATCGCACATCAAGTGCTCTGATCGTACTGCCCAACCAGAAAAAGGGCCATCCCAGTGCCGCGCACCTCAACAACACCACACTACACCAGACCTGGTCCAGCTTAGTTGCCAAACAGGGCGGAGAGGCCACCACCGTTCTTCTTCTTGCCACCGGCCGCAGCACCGGTCGCAGCGCCAGCAGCACCACCAGCCGCGGCACCAGCAGCTCCTCCAGCGGCACCACCAGCAGCAGCCCCGGCCGCCCCGCCGGCAGCCGCCCCCGCAGCGGCGTTTCCGGTGCCAGCCTGCTTGGCCATCTGGGCGAGGAAAGCTCCCGACTCGTCGGCGTTGCGGCCGTACGACAGGTGGGCCGCGGTGATGGTGAGTGTTGTTGCACACCAGGTCGCCCTGGGCGCAGAAGACCTTGGTCTGGGCGACGGGGTACCCGGGGATCTGCAGGTTGTCCTGCTCGGCGCGGGTGAAGCCCCAGACGACCACTCCGGCGACCTTGGCCTGGGTGGCGGCCGGCATCTGCTGGATGGCGTTGTCGACGACGGCGGAGCCCTGGGAGTAGCCGCCCATGACGATGGTCGAGTCCGGGCACTGCGTGGCGGCCAGGTTGACGATGTCGAGGGCCGCGTTGATGGACTGGGTGTCGGTGTTCTGGGGCTGGAAGTTGGGCGCCAGCGCGGCCGCGTAGCCGTCCTCAGTGCCGATACCCTGGCAGGCGACCTGGTCGGCGCCCAGGTTGTCCTTGATCGCTGCGCAGGTCTGTGGGCCGACGACGGTGCCCTGGGAACACGCGTGTTAGCCATCACCACTCAGCCTCGTTGAATCGTTGTTGAAGAGAATTGCCTTACCATGTTGTCGGTTTCCGTAGAGCCACGGGCCATGATGAAGGTGACCGGCTTGCAGTCACCATTCTTCAGGTCGTTGGCAACAACGCCTCCTTGACGGGTCTCGAGGGAGGCATAGTCGCTGGGAACGGCCGCAACAGCCGTAATGCCGACAAGAACGTTCAGGATGGTGGTCTTCATCGTGTAAGTGGTGATGTTGTCAAGGTGCGATTGCCGGATCGGGAAAGACTGCGGTTGGGATGTAAAGTGATGGCGGCCTGGCCAACATATATGTTGTGATTGAATGAGAGTCTTGTTGTTCGATGATGATCCGTCCCATCCTATCCTCAGGGCGGGTGGCGTTCGCTACCCTTTATACCATCCACAGACAAGTTCGTTCTAAAGTCGTTCTTCGGACTTCAGATGACCGCAAGGAGACTCGGTCGTGGTAAGGCCTGCTCGCAACACCAATCAGTTTGACTCGTGAGCAGAAGTCGGGACGAAAACCGTATTGGGACAATGTCCCGACCCGAAACATCACACGTCTGATACCCCCCTTGACACGTGTGGGCACCCACCACCAGGCAAGAAAAGGGAAGCCCAGCTTATCCCAGAATGTTGGAGAGGGCGCCAAGATCTGACCGAACGATGCAGATGCCGCCAACTTGTCCCAATGCAGAAGATGTCACGAGAAGCTGATGTTGTCAGCCAGTCTGATTGTCGAAACGAAACGGTTCCTCGGGCTGTACGAACATCGCGAAGACGATCCAGCCCCGCGATTCGACAGAATTGGAGATGCCTCGGCATGCTGATCAGGGACAAACCTCCTCGGCAGGCTTTTTGGACAGCACAGCCTAGAATCCGTCCAATTCCACGACCGTGTAAACGAAACAACGCTACATACACAACTGGCAATACAATGTCAGTTTCGGCGCGCGCTGCCCTTCCACTGACGTACATTGTCGTCTCAAGTGTCCTTGACAGCCTTCACATCCCTTCCGTCTTTTTCCCATTGGTTCTTATACAGTTCGAACGGATTAAAGCCAACGGACAACGGCTCGATCTCCGATAGCAACCCGCCCCTCCGTCTCGCAGAGATGCAGCCACATTTGTGACCTCATCGAGAGGTCGAGCAGCACACTCCACAAGAGACGAAAGCCGCCACCAGACCACTCGATCGCCTACTAGATGCTGATCGACCAGTAGTTGCTGGCTAATAAATCCCCCAAGCCACGCCTGCGGAGAATAGTCTGAGATCTGCGGGCCTTCGGCACTCCCCCATGCTAAGCTGGCGATCCGGCGAGTTCCAGATAATCCGCTAGCCGTGTTACCCCTAGTGTCGACTTCCCGCAGAATACTTCCATGCATGCGACAACGGCCGAGCCTGGGCTACTCGAAACATGCTAGGCCAAGATTTTGCGCTCAATAGAGAAGAACATTGCGGACGGCGGCGCCCAGTTTTAGCGACACGGGTGAAGACCGCGGGTAGCGACTCCACACTGGTGATCATACGGAACGGGTCCTGGCAGATCTACTGTAGATGCGAGGGTTGCGATTGGGGCCCTGTTTAGTGCATGGATTATCTACCTCAGGCATAAGGCACTGCTCTGCCCGCTTGGCTCAGGGTCCACATATTCTTGCACCTCTGCTGGGCACAGCCTGCTCAAGTGTCTTACATCCAGGCGGACCTCGGCACGTCTGCTTACGGCCCAATATTGTTCCTCCTGTCTCGTTGGCGATGCAGACAGGACAATATTATTCATCAGCCTTTCAGAAGCAAAATTCCTGAGTTGCACGGATGGTCTTCGTCCGATCGAGCCTCAAGGAGTATGGCGGCATGCCGGTGTCATCTAGAGAAGGCTCATTTCAATATCGTCGACTAGGACGGAACAGTTTGACTCAGGCTGCTCTGTTGCTGGATCTAACGATGTCTGTAGATGCATTGCAAATTTCCTTTGTGAAGCGTGTTGTGTGGCTCCCCCGAGCCTTCCGAGGTTGTTGATGGATTTGCGCTGAACGAGATGCGATTGGGCCAGTGCGCTCCGCCTCGGCGGCGCAACAAGTTCGACGCAAATGCATGTTTGCCCGGTGGGCCATTGCCTGGCAGGAGGATGTATTGGGTGCCGACTTCTTACGCTCGAGAATACGCAAGATGTCGGTCGGTGGCAGCGATTGCCTAACGGTCAAGAATTTCACAGCAGCCGGTCTGGGCAACTGTAAGCCAGCTCCCTCTTGGGAGCGAAGAGACTGGACTGATACGTTTCTTACACTAGGGGCACGATTGATGTATTCTTTACAAGTCTTGCTTCATACCAGCTGTCCTCGAAAGACGAAGAATACAACGACCCAAAGACTAACACACGCAACTTGCTGTGTGTAGTAGGGAACCCAAAATCATCCTCGAAAGCGACATCGATACAGCACATTATCACAATGACGAATTGTTGAGGAATTACTCGAGAGTTCTTTCCCGAAGAACCTATAACGCCGTATCATGTATCCATGCTGTTCACACCGCTGACAGCCTTGTCGAAACCATCACACCCTCGCCACTACGCACTCTACGTCAGGCCTGTGCCCAGCTGGCATCGAAGTGGACGTATGTCTTTGTGCACACGTCACCACCCGTACGTCATTTGTAGTGACCTTACAGCGAATCAGCTATAGAACACTGGCCGTCAAAACGGGTCGGCGCGTTGGAGTCGATGCTGAACGAACACGAGGCCCGGACACACGGTGAGCCCCCGGGGGATACTTCGGACGAAGGCACCGAGTGAGCCGTATCTACAGACACGTCGACGTTACCGGCCATTGACGTCAAAAAAAGCCCAACATTCACTCCGTATGCCTCAGAGACGGTCAGAGCATCGGACGAGGAAACGCAACACTTGACGAAAGGGCCCAAGGGCATGTACGCGATACAGGAACGCGAGCATACAGTCTCCGGTCTTCAATTCCCAAACTTCCTACAACTTTCGTGATTAACAGCATGCTATCGAGTCAATCCAATAGGAGGAGTTGGGCGAGCTTGGGAATGGGGCACAGCTTTACGTAGACGAATTCCATCCAAGTCTGCAGTGAGGAATCACTCGTCGCCCAAGAGCCTGGCCGTGGGCGAACCTCCTCCAATAGTAAAGCCCTGAAAACAGTTTGCAGGGAGGTAGATGGCAAAGCACATTAAGTCCTGCCATGATACGGTCGGTTTCGATGTGCTCAAGTTGGGAGTATCGTGCTCATACTTGTCCTTACCATTCAAACGAAAGCCACGAACTGCCTATTGCCCACCAAGTACACAGACAATACCTCTGGCATCGGTCCTGAGCATCAACGTCCTATCGATTCGGCCGTTCTGAACTGCCATCGCTACTGCAGCACTTGCTCAAAGCATTATCCGTGTACTCCATTCGTTCTTGGAAGCTCTTCATGCATCCGGATGCGGGGCCGCGGTGGAGGGCACCGCCCAGGCTCGGCAAACGGTACGCAGTAAAACACCCGAATGATCACTTCCATGGTCAGACTACGATATCATTTCTCGCGTTTCCTTTAAACAGAGTGATCGCAGTCGTAGCTTACATATCGCCTTGGAGCACCATCCTCTACGCACTTCGAGACCATGGCCAAAGTCACCGGGGCCCTGGGCTTTAGCGAGCCTCTTCCCGGCGTTCGTTTCAAGTTCCATGCGAACGACACGACCCTCGATGTAATGAACATCACACAGCGCGACGCAACCATCTCTAACGCGAGGGCAGCCTCCCCGCCTCCCTCTCTCGACGCCGAGGGATTCACGCTCGTGGGCCACAAGAGCGCAGTCCAAGACTTCCGCGACCAAGAGGAGATCAAGCGCGTCCACGCCGGCGAGATCCGCGACCTCCTCCTGGGCCTCACCGGCGCCGACGACGTCGAGGTGCGCGGCCTCGGCGTGCTGCGCTTCGGGGAGCGCAGCAGGGACTCGGGCGCGCTGAACAACTCCCGCCCGGCGCGGTTCGTGCACGTCGACATCTCGGACAGGACGGCCGCGGAGTGGAACGCGAAGCTCGCGGCGCCGGAGGGCAGGCGGGGGATCAGGCGGTTCGCGCACCTCAACGTCTGGCGCGTGCTGACCCCGCCGCCGCAGGATGTCCCGCTGGCCGTGTGCGACGCCCGGAGCCTGTCGCCGGAGGATGTCCATTTCGCGGATGCGATGTTCGATGACCCTGATGGCAGTGGGAGGATCTTGCACTCGTTTGAGGGGCTGGCTGTTAGGCAGAGCCCGGGCCAGAGGTGGTGGTACTACCCTGATATGCGGACGGACGAGGTGCTTGTTTTCAAGACGAATGACACCGAGCCGGGGGTCGCTCACGCGGTTGCCCACGGTGCGTTTGATGACCCCTCGTGCCCGGCGGAGCAGGAACCGCGTGCGAGTCTTGAGATGCGTGGTATTGCGATCTGGTATGATCCGGGCAAATGAGATGACTATTATTGTCCAATACGTGGACTTCTCGTGATACTCGACGGCCACCCTCGCCCAGTTCTGGCAAGCCTCCTTTCTGAGCGTTAGCACCCCGTCCGGAATCTTTCCGCAGGGACTTGACTGTCCGAATCCGCTCCAGCTCGATCCTTCTGTTGCTGCCATGTCATCCTAGGGAAACAGCTCTCGATCAAACACTAAGACAGCACGGAGGGAGCTTCTTAGCTCTGCCAGCATTGACCCAATCAGGTCGGTAGTGATCCGAAAAGAGAGGAACACTGCAATACAAGGATTACGGAGAACATTGAGATATAAATTGTGACCCGAACTGGACTCATGTGTCGTTGGACCCGAAGCCGTGTCTGTTTTGGGTGATCCCGACAACCACAGGAGGACTTGTTGCGCCCGCTTGCTAACCGGTCGGCGGAGGTACACGTGAACAGCCATGGAAAGAGGCTGAAATAATTTAACGGACCTGGAAACGAAACCAAAAATGAGCAAAACTAACGATAACACCATGGCCGGGCCAGCTGGATTGGATGGTGGTGTCATAGGTCCGCACTCCAAGCCAGCCGACAACTTTCTTGCATTGGCAAGGTGAAAAAAACAAATGGCGGGTGAGCACGGCTCCGCTACAGAGCAATGATACATGTACGGCTGGGACCAGTCAAAAAATGCAGTAGGAATGAACTCTATGATAAGCATGATAAGGAGGCAAATCATCATGCCAAACCTGACTATTGTCTCGACTCGACGTTCATGGAGGTAGGATCGTAGAACCGTCATGGCGGTTAGATGCGTGATACTAGAAAACCAGGCAATATAAACGATGAGCTGCCAGTGGTATGAGCACACAACCACTTATCAGCACACTGATCCCAGTAAATATTTGAATGTCGCACATGACCAAAATGGCCTAGAACTCAATGATTAGCAAACTCGATAGGGCTATTACTCTATGTAACATAGACATGGTAATGAACCTACTCGGTTGAATGCCATTTGCATTCTCTTCGGATGGCCGATCTGACAAGGGGCAGGACACTGTCTTGCAATTCTTCGAATCCATGATAAAAACAGAACGTCGATAGGATTAGGCTTCCACCAGTCCGGAGGTCCAACCCTTTGTTCTGCATCATTATCCGTCGGAAAAGGACACGCTTCAGGATCATGGGCAATCATGTAATTGAATAGAAGGACAAGAACGACCAGGACACCTGTCCCGACGAAGCCGATTAGAACCTAAACCATTTGTCAGTACCAGTTTCGAGACGAGGGCAACGAAGTCTCAGCTGCCCCCCAATCCATCTATGTCGCCATTAGGCTCGAGATCTCGTTCATACAAATGGGTCCAATTTGAACATTCGGATGTGTTGGATAAGTGAGTCCAAGGATCGTAACTCATGGCTGGCATAAAAGTCGTCAAAGTAGAGCAAAAGTCTGGAAATCGATTGGAGACATTCAGCGGCCACCGCGCGTCAACCCGCTTTCTCAATTAATAGTAGGTGGCTGTCCTTCAGCTATGTCTCAATCCTACAGGACTGTCTTTAAACTGGGGCAGATTGCCGTCCGACACGGGCCGCTGACGGTCTCATTTTGGCTGGATCAGTTGGGGTCCGATACGACCCGCACCTCAAATAGTTCCTTACAGATCGATAGTCCTTGTGTCATCCTCTATTGACGTCTCTTCTGAACCTCTCGCGGAAGTCCCCTATCTTTTACCCCCAATGTTTTACAAGCTCCTTAAGGTCTAGGTTCACTGACCTTAAGGAAGAGTGGAATCGGTGCTCAATTCCGAGTTACTACGTTTGGGATTGAGTAGAGCGCAGTCGTACAGCTTAGCGAGGCAGTCAGGCGGTCTAGTCAGCCTGAGTTGGCTGAGACATGCTGTGAAAAGACACCAGTCTCTGGTCAAGAAGTAGCATTCAGGGCTGTTTCTGAAAGGCAGGCGGGCGAAGCACTCTACGGTTTCAGCTAACATGCACAAGTGCGGGCGGCTTGTAGATGGACCCGGATGCGAGGCATTGCAATCTGCCACGAGTAGAGTGTTCACGGAAATTGCCAAAAGTGGTTAGGTAGACGCACTGAAGGCATGTAAACGCGCATAAAAGCCATTTGGTTGCTGCGGGAGACGCTCTACGTCTACACACAGAGCTGTGGTCAGAAATATAGGTCCCAGATATCTAGGTATGGATCAGGCAAAGGCCACGAGATATTATATTTGCCCTTGGCACCGGGATATCGACTGGGTATTTATCCACGTATGGATTGCGAACAGAGACTTCATTTGGTTTTATGTCTTCTATGAACTACTCGCAACTAGCTTGCACTAACCTTCACGTCTGAGAAACGGGGCATTAGAGAGATTGCGATACTATTCTGGGCCTGATATAAGCTTTAAGCTACCTACGGGCTCCCTTGGTAGAGATATTTTGCGTTCCGAGGCACGTTCGCGTTGAGTTCTAAGCCGGACTTGATTCGACTGAGGATTTGAGCGTTGCATTTCAACGTCCTCTTGGGACTCGCTTATTGGTGAAGATCAGCGACCGTTATGTCCAGTATGGTAGTCGGTCGGTCCATCATGCTGGCGAATTGTCAGGTACAAAAGGGGTCTGTTATCCCCCGAAGGACCCTCACTGAATGTCAGGGTCCTTTTCACAATAAGGAAAGATCTGCTCGGGAAAGGTAACTACTTGTAATATTCGGATACATTATCCGGCTCGGAAAAGCGCGCGGCGCTACCGGGCCGAAGGCGCAGCGCGGCCGCAGCACTCTCCATCTGAGAAGCAGGGGGTTTATGGAATTGGAGGAGAGAAAGAAAAGTGACGTTAAATCGTACCTTATTTCGAAAAACAAATATGCTGCTCGCACGCCGCTTCCTCGCTGCTTGGCAACTGCGTATCCCTATTCACTCTGCTTGGAGTTATTCAACTACCCTTTCACTAGATTATCGCTGGAAGAATGACCGAAGGGTGTCAAAGCATCGCGCAATCATCGCACGAGAACTTGCCCAGATGAGGGGGAAACAAGGGTTTCCTGCATATAAGTATAGAGGGGAAGGTGGCATCGAATGAGGAGAAAAACTCAATGATCTTTCTGATTTCAATTTTACTGCCATCTCAGCGAACTGCATTCTCAAGAGCATGATTCTCGATTTGGCCCTTCTAATATTTGTTCCATGGCACGGAACTCTGGCGAGGCGCAAGTAATTGGTGAGAAAATGTAAGCAGAGGTGGATTTGATTGTGGTAAGTTCTACTCTCTAGAAGAAAACTTGATAAATTGACAGATTATACATGAAGTAATTCGACGCCGCACTAAGGCGTAATTAACGAGTCGACGAATCGAATATTAAGCCCTCTGCAGTGGCCACGCAGACTTTGACGCGACCAAAATATTCCTTGGTTATCGGCTATCAGTGCAGGTCCTCCAGGCGTTCACAGCGGCTCATCCGTCGGCACGGCGAAAGGCGCGGGTTTTCCAGCAAATCCAATCTGAAGAAGCAACAAGGTTACTTTGCCACAATAACATTTACCTGGAGAGATATTGGTCCCCATACCTCGCAGGATGAAGACCGGACACATCCTCTCCATTCTGCCCCTCTTCGGAGTTGGCCAGACGCAAAACTCCACTTTTCCGAACCCCATCGTCGGCGGATTTAACCCGGATCCCAGTTGCATCTTCGTCCCTGAGTTCAATGACACATTCTTCTGTGCAACTTCGAGTTTTCTTGCATTCCCAGGCCTCCCTATCCACGCAAGTCGAGACTTAATCCATTGGAAACATGTCTCCAACGCTTTCAGTCGGGCGGACCAACTCCCCGGGTTGGCTTTCCTTCCAAAAGCTACGAGTGGCATTTACGCGCCAACTCTTCGTTTCCACGATGGTACCTTCTACCTGCTGTCCACTCTCGTGAACCAACAACTACCGAGGACCAATGATAGCCGTTGGGACAACTTCATTCTCACCACAACGGACCCTTACAGCTCAGATTCATGGTCTGATCCCGTGCATTTCAGCTTCCCCGGTTTCGATCCCTCGCCCTTCTGGGACGATGACGGCAAGACCTACGTCTCAGGTGCTCACACCGCGGCTTATTACCCTGGCGTCATGCATGCACCCCTCGACCTCGAGACTGGCGAGATCGGAGACATCATCATGCCCTGGAACGGGACTGGTGGCTCTTCCCCAGAGGCGCCTCACATCTGGAAGCGGGGCGGATACTACTACCTCCTCCTGGCCGAGGGAGGCACTCGCGAGAATCACATGGTGACAATGGCGCGATCCCGAAGCCTAAGTGGTCCTTTCGATCCCGCCCCTGGAAACCCGCTTCTCACTTCAGCAAACGACACCAGCTCTTACTTTCAGGCTGTTGGGCACGCAGATCTCCTCCAGGATGCACAGGGTCAATGGTGGTCTGTTGCTCTAGCGGTTCGCGCCGGCGGTACGTATGGCCAAGACCCGGGGCCATACTTTGGAAACCTGCCAATGGGCCGCGAGACAGTTTTGACCCCAGTCACCTGGGAGGAGGGCGAGTTTCCAGTCTTCACTCCTGTCACTGGAGACATGTCTGGCTGGCCGCTCCCATCTGAGGCCATTCCAGAAGAGGGCGAGGGTCAGTTAAGCGACGCAGATGATACCATCACTTTTCCTCCTGGTAGCAAGCTTCCCATTCACTTCATTCACTGGCGCCTTCCCAAGTCAAGGAATTACGCCATCTCACCCCCGGATCACCAGAACACACTGGCACTCAAGTCATCTGTCCTCAACTTGACCGCCTTTGACGCAGACTTCGCACTGGGCCGGGGACAGACCTTCGTCGGACGCCGCATGGCACATTCCCTATTTCGCTTCCGCGTGGATGTGGACTGGGCCAACTCCCTGACGGAGGAGGAGATGGAGGTAGGAGCCTCGGCCATTCAGGACCAGGCTCAACACTTCGACCTCGGCATCGTGATGCTCAAATTCAACGGGAGCGGAGACCTTCGACCACACCTTCGGTTTCGAGGAATCTCGGAGACACCATATCGTGCGGCGCAGAATCCCCCAAACGAAGTGTTCCCATTGCCTGAAGGATGGGCTGGACAGAAGATCTCGCTTCAGATTGAGGCAGTGAACAGCACCCACTTTGCGTTCTCGGCCGGGCTCACTGGGGAAGGAGAGGAATCGACGTTGGGAGTATATGGCTATTGCATGGGCACTGAATTGGTCCCGTACTACTCCGGTATGTTGCGTTTGACGTTATGACTGTAACGAAGCTGATGAGATCACAGGCCTTGTGTTGGGAGTGTATGCAACTTCGAACGGAAAGCATGGGGAGCAAGCATTCGAGACTTACATATCTAACTGGCGGTACACCGGCATCCAACAGCTAAGAAGCCAGAAGGATGTTGATGGTGTTGACAGAGCTCATGCTTGAAGATGGTTCAGATTTTGAATCGATTCAACGCAATGTGTTGCTAAATGTACCATTCCTCAACTTCGACTGCAGATCACTCCTCTTTCTTCGATTTATGCAAGAAAATATACCTTGGCAGTCTAACCTGGTTATCAGGCTGGTGTCTGTAGTTACAACATGCTCAACGGATTGACTGGCATCGGTCATAGATGCACTGTTCAACCGGCCCCTTGAAGCGACCACCTCGGGAATGCTCGTGCATTTCCATCGAAGACTATAAAATGCCTTGCCTGACGACGACATGATATATGATATTTGTCGGAGTGGACGAATCGGCCTCGCAGGATTGTGACGGCCCCACCCCCCACGCTCGGCGGAAGGAGTAGGCAGCAGTTTTTTGTCCCCAGGGGCCGCCAATCATCCACCGTGTGTCACGGCTGCACTGCCAGGCCGCTCCTGCACGAACCTCCCTACCTGCGCGCATCGCTGCCGGAAGAACAGAACCATTCTGCTCCTGGTTGGCTGGGAAGGAGCGATATCTCGTGTTGTGAAACGCTGGTTTGTTGTCGCAGCGAGGGACACGCGTCGTCTAGCGTTCAGCCACTGAAGGGATGAGAAGCCGGAAGTGTGTATTCTAAGGTTGGTTTGTTGTATTGTGGTTTTAAAGTTGACAGGAATTGGAAATATAAACTCCCATGTATCACTGTACATGATTAGAGTGCTCGGATCATACTTCGTTTGAGCAAGAGAACGACGGCATCTTGACACAAAACATTCGAGCGGCCATGGATCGGAAGAACGTCAACACAGGTAGGTTTGATTATTTCAATAACTACATACCTAACCCTATTCCCCATCATGCCACGACTTCATCGAACCGTGAACACTGATGCAGACCCCGAAAGCAGAGACGACTGTCCCGCTGCTTCAGGGAAGACCAAGATCGTCAGGTCCCAGCTCCCCCATTCTCCCTCAATACCAAGAAAACCTTCTCGACGACCTGCCCCCCATCCCGGAGAGCGAAGGGTCCGGGCCCGGCTCCATGCGTCTCCAGCGACTGCACCAGGAAGATATCTACACGGCTTCACCGGCAAGGGCCCACTCAGCATCGGGCAACCAGCACCAGGCCAGGCCATGGCACCGCTCTATCCTCGAGCGCGCCAACACGTCTCGCTCAAACGGGGGTGAGCCCTCGTGGGCTAACGTCGTGCCCCTGTCGCTGCTGGGCCGCTGGGCCGCCGTGGTGGAGTGCCCGCTGTGCAAGGAGCTCACGCGGACCACGCTCAGGCACGAGACGGGCAAGGGGACCCAGTAAGTTCGGCTTCCTTGGCTTCAAAAGCTTTCTCTGTCACAACTTGCCACTGACATGTTTGTGTGCTCGACAGCTGGATGGCGACGCTGCTCTTTTTCACCACCGGAGTCGGCGTGTTCGTGCCCTACGTCACGGACTTTTCCAAGAACGTCCAGCACAGGTGCTTGAAATGTGGTAATACGCTGGCTACGAACCACTTCGGGAGCGGGACTGAGGCGCACTTGATTTAAAGACTGAGAGAGCTGGCGGATTGTTTGGTTCATAGACTGTCTTCTGGTAGGTCAAAGTCGAGAGGTTTGTCCTTTCAAATTGCCAGTGGAGTGTGGTATCTTTTGGTTCGAGTTGCAAGATGTGGTCATTAGCATCATGGTCCGCCTGGTAACGTGGCCTTTTCAATTATATGTTTTACTTTGTACTGCGAAAACAATGATTGCTGAAGCGGACGATCCTCTTAACAAGTCCATTGCCGAAGCTACCTGTGTCGGAGCACGACATGAACGGACATGATGCTAAGTGCACGATGAAAACGATTGGTTTACTGTTGATATACAACTGCTATATACAACTGCTAAATTCAATGTCTCAAGAGTCACTCTTACGAAGACCACCATAGTGTTGTCTACCCGGAGGCTTATGAACACAAGCTCCCAGTCCGAGAGGCCTCGCAGAGACCAACAGTGCAATCTCACTAATTTTTGGAAACAGTGGCAGGCCTATCTATATTCATGCCGAAGACAATGCCTAATCCAACACCTAGCCTTGGACGCCCCTTTCTTTGCCTTTCCTAGAGACCATATCAGTTCTACCCGTAACCATTACGCCTCATAGTATCTGTTTCCAGAATTCACCAATGAAACCAGCAACCTCGGTCACTTTGTCTCTGACAACTCCGTGTCCAGCCTCCGGGACGACGTTGACATTATGGAAGCCGACCTGTTCCAGCTCGCTCTTGGGGCACAAATCATCGAGCCCACCGAGCACAAAGACCGATTCCACCCCGGTTCCAGCTGCCTTGGCGAAGTCGGCATGCCTGTCAAAGACACCAGCGTCTCTGAAGACGCCAACAACGGAGGCCGTGTGGCCCGGGTGCACGCGCATCTGCCACTCGCGGATAGCCTCAGCCACCACCTCGCCCCGCGCCACACGCTCTCTCCAATCCGTCGGCACAACAATGTCCCCGCCCTCCAGGAACTCCAGGATCCACCTCCGAGCCTCGTCCTCAACGGGGCTGCCGCCCCTGATGTACGAGCGCTGCAGATCCGTCCAGCCAGCCGAGCGCAGGAGCCCCGCGGGTGCCACGAGCGCCATGCTCTCCACACGCATCCGGCCCCTCTTTGCAACGTACGACACCGTCGCGGCGCTGCCGAACGAGTAGGCCACGAAGTGCGCGGACGGCCAGCCCAGGCGGTCCAGCAGCGCGTCCACCTGGCCGTGGAACAGCGCGTCCTCGTGGGGCTCCACGGGCGTCTCGCTCAGCCCGTGGCCCCACCAGTCCAGCAGCACGCAGTGCGCCTGCGGGAAGGCCGCGTGCAGCGCGCCCGCGAGCGGGAGCATGCCCAGCGCGGGCGTCTGCACGCCGTGGAGGAACAGCACGCGGTCCGGCGACTTGGTCGGGGTGGTGCTTGAGGTCGGCGGAAGCTCATAGCATGCGGCTTTTCCGTGGGGCGTGGTGAAGAACTGTGCTGGGGGCAGCAGTTTCCCGAACGTGTCTGTGAAGGTTGTTTCGGTCGGGCCCGGGATTGGGGCGGTTGGGGTCTCGCGAGCCGCCCCGGGGCGTGGTAGGACGAGCTGAGTAGATTTGGTGGCCATGCTTTTTGGACGACCTTGAGTTACAGAACCTTGGATCTACCTCTAGGAGGATGTTGAAACCTATTGCCGATGAAGCCACGCGTAGTTTTGTTTTGAAATCTTATCGGATTTGTCATCGATGAGGCTACTTACTCGCGTTTGATTGGTGGATAGCATCCTGGGCAGAGGATAGTCAATAAATGGCTTTGCCGAAGGGCGTGAGGATTCGGCCTTCTTTTTGGCGGATGACAGGTTTGACCTGAATTGGCAAGTTGATTCGAATTCCAGCTGGACTCAAGGCAATGCTCTGAGACCAGAAACATGCTGGTTTACTCATCCTTTTTCAACACTTGGCACTGCCCAATTTCTGTCATCCTCTTCGATTTTCACAATGGGAGCTTGTGTGTTGATCCAACACATATTCGGCTCGCAATCCATTATGGAACGAATTGTCACAGGGCTTGATCAATCTTCTAATTTTTTGAATTTGTATTGTTTCTATTCAGACCGAGGCCCGTCGGTGGCCGATCGGGTCCAGCCGCGGTTTGTAGGCGGGAGGCGCGTTTGGACTCCCCTGTACAGAGTCTGGTAAAGATATCACAGAATAGCTGGGTGATTCCACAGCTGCTACAGAAAGACCAGCTTCCTCGTCCTTTGGGTTCTTGGCCCCCAACTCTGCTGCTTTAGCTTCGGTGTTTTGGATCCTGACCCATTCTGCCTCCATGCGGAACAAAGCCCAGACAGCCCTCCTGACCAGCTCGAGGAACGTCAGGATAAAGACCCAGGAGGATTTGTCCAAGATCCGATCTATGTCGGGACTGATTTTCAGGATCCAGAGACTTCGAAGCATGAGATCCAGAATGATGGCCAAATAATAGCCAAGAGGACCAAACAACAGTAGGTCTTGGCGCAGTCCAAATGCATGACGGCCTTTAGAACCGCCCGTCACCAGCAGCTTCAAATCCCAATCCCGCGAGATATCCCACCAAAAGCCGTAGATTGTGTTGAAAGCGTGACTTCCCAGCCACAGATAGAAGATGTCTTCCGGTATACCCGCCGGAGTATCCTCGGCCTCCCTGCGCAATATGTCGAAGATGATGAATGGAATCGAGCTGATGTATTTGCCGGCGTTGAGAAGATGCCAGCCGCCCCAGACGCCCTCCGAGAGCTGTGTACTGCCAGCACGGCTGAACTCAGTCAGGCACTGGCGAAACCTGATGAGTACAGGGATGGACATGGCTATGGGCTTGACGATGTGTCTAACAGCTTGGTATTCAGGGTCGTCGGGGGACTCGCTGGTCTGTGTAAACAGAAGGACCAGGTATAGGACCAAGTCGGCATAAATGACCTCGAGAGAAATGAAGGCATCTGCCAGCAGGGTGTCGGCGAACTTCCCATGGTGAGGCTGGGCCAAGCCACCCAGGCTTATTCTTCGAAGTGTTGATAGAAGCCGATCTCGACCCCCGGATGAGGCCGCGAAATTGTGAGGCGGTGCTAGGAGAAGGACGCCCAGGATGAGAAGGTTGATCAGGGCAAGCCAGTTGAAGTAACCAGTGAGTTGTGGGTCCTTGTGGGTAATGACCCAGTAGAGGCCAAGGGATACGACAAAAGTCAAAGAGAGAAAGCCGGCGAGGCGGTAAATGAGAATGTGAAGCGGCTTATCACTGGAATTGTTATAATTGAGGAGAGTCAAAACGCAGATATGTCGACTATGCAGGTAGTGTATTATCAGAGCCCACGACCAAACGGCTAATTCCAATTAGCGTTTGTTCTTTCGAGCTATAAAATAGAACAATAAATTGACTTACCGAAGACAACCATAAAAGCGATGCGGTATGCAAGGGGAAACACCAGCTCGAAGGAATCCAGTCCGTTCTCGTTCACCTCAAGGTCGAAGTCCATGATTAATGAGCGTCGGGGGTCGAAAATAAATCAATTCGCAACAATCGTCAGCCTTCAGGGCATTCCTAGTCAACACACACGCGGTCGCTATCAAAGAAGGCAAAGGGCTGAGGTGAGGAGACCAAGGCTGCCGATCCATTAGCAGTGCTTGGGACCAGATGAGTCTTTATTGCCATCTTGATTCTCGAGTCAGCAGCATGAAGCAGCAGCGAGGCGTCGTCCCTCGCCCTCGTAATCGCGATCAACGCAGAGGCCATCTGCAGCGCTGTGTTGCCCGTTGCATCGCGGAGCGCGCTGTTCTCGGGGCCGCCGCGGTTCCCTGCAAAGGTTGTAGATTTAGACCTGAGGTAGATGGGATTCGCAACAGTGTCGACTCAGCATAGTCTTGGTCCAGGAGGGTCAAACGGCGATACCGCCTATCTCGGTTTCAGCCCGAGTCCAGATGCTTAGCTGAGAGTGTCTCGAATGTGCCAAGATTGCCGTTGCCAAGCGCAGGCACGACGGATATAGAAATTGCTCGCGTGACAATCGAAACTGCGCGGGAGTCGGCTGCGCCTGCTGGTTAATAATTGTATGGCCGCTGAATACCTACTATACTCAAGAGCTGGCCTTCGATTTCTTTATCCTCCTGTTGTCGGCGGACAAACAATGAGGCCGAGCTGCCACCTGCGCCTCGTGTGATTCTCGGGAAAACTTTAACTGTCCAGCACGTGCCATCTGCCATTGCTCACAACCTGACCGTCCCAACAAATCCCGGGGTCATGGTCAACCCGCTCGGGACCCTGGAGGTGGAATTGGGGATTTGCGAATCGACAATGCCCTTCAACTGAATTTATCGAGGAAAATGTGAAAACTTATACTGATATATTTGACAGATCGCTAGAGCCATAATCAGTCTACCGAATTTCACAAAGTGCGTTAGTGCTGTCTTCAACCAGCCCTTACTTTAGATGCGTGAACCTGGGTATTTATGGTTGCAGACAGTAGTGTCAGTGTAATGGGAATTAATGATCTCTTGAAGAAGATTGGAGAATGATGTCTTAAAACTGCTGATCTCCGTGTGATGGCTTTGAGTGCAATGTTAGGTTAGCTCTGTACTTCAAGCCACCACTTTCCTCCGAAAAAGTCCTGCTTGCCTTCACTGAAATTTTTCTATCTCCGCCCATCACAATATTCTTCACCCGCATGCTACTCTTTGCGGTATTTCTTTGTCTGGCGTGTCGTTATTTAAATCTTTTCCCCCGATCTCAATCCTTTGTCTTCCATTCATTGGTTTCCTTTTACCGTATTATCCTTCACTTCCATTTTCATTCATTCCATCAATCCTTCCTCTTCACATTCAATTTCAACCAGTTTCAGTTTTGATTCTGACTAATCATCGCCACCGCTTGATTGCACTTGGTCTGAAGAGTTGATATGGACATTTCTCAGAACAGTCTCAGCAATGAAGCACTGTGGATTTTGTATGATAGGCTTTTACAACAAGCTCGCCAGCTTGAGGCATCCTTAGCCACACCATCCCATCGTCGAAATTCTACCACGCCCACAAACATACCTCGGAGAATTGACCCGATCACCCCAATCCGTCAAACCGATAGCGCTGTTTCCAGTGACCCCAAAGATGGCGATGATTCCCGTGACCCTGAAGACAACGATGATGCAGAAAATGATACAGAAAATGACCAGTCATCATCATCTCTTGGTCCAGATCAGCGTCGAGTCACCATTATACTAAGCAGCTCTCCGGTGGGCACCAGGGATGCTCCTACTACTCCAGATCAGCCTCAAGTCACCATCACACTAAGTAGCTCTTCGGTTCGTACTCAAACCCCTGCTGAGCAAAGGGTTCCAGTTCAACCATTACAAAAGTTTCCACCGGATCTTAGGAATCTGCCCGCTATTCAGACAACGCGACCAGAACTTTTAGGGACCACTGAATCTCGGCAGACACGTCGCCGGATCATAATATAACGTGAGATAGTCGACGCTTACCGCGCCTTGGTTGACAACTACATGGGCGTCAGGTACAACATATATACAGAAGATAGAATCTCACCAGATACTAGTGATCCAAGTATTCCAGAACCGGAACCAATACAAGCAGATGTATCCCTCATAACGGTGAACGCCTATGTAGAAGTCAGTATAGTCGAAAGCGCCGCGTACGATATCGCCAATCTCGGACGAGCTAGAGAGGGGAACTATTATATCGGGCGTTTTGACTTCGAGGGCGCCGCGCGCCGGAACCGCGCGAGGTTCCGGGAGCGCACGTGGGCCGACCTGGTCTCGAACGCTGGCGCACTTGGCGACGATTTCAATACGGCATACCTCATGGTCCGCGATTACCTCCGAGGGAGACGGAAGCTTGTCATTTTTGTCAATATCGGTGCACACGCTACGGTTCTCACGCTGGTTCGTGGCTCAAGGGTCGCCACGTTCTTCGACACGTGGGCGACTCGTAATAACGGGGAAAGGGCTCTCCTGCTGTGTTCGTCCATCATAAGGTCGGTTTTCAATGAGACAACAGAAGGCTGGACCCTACAATTTCCGCCCGTCGGGAAGCAGAACGTACGAGCAAACAATTGTGGTATACATTCGTTACTGAGAATTAGAGATGAGTTGGAAGACAACAATGAACATGATACCAATGAGACAAGTGCCAACACAATGAGGCTATATCTAGCGCTCCAAGGTGCACACGGCGAGGACAGGTACCCCTTAGCGGATATCATCAACTAGGTATTTAGTGAATAATAATGTATTGGATGTATGCTTTCAACTGTGAGCCAAACTGTCCATTTAAATGGAATGTCGTTTCAAATCATCTTATTCGTTTTTGGGCGTGGGTGTTATGACAAGTTCATGAATTCCCTTGGCTGTCCTTTCGGGAGCTTTAGAAATTGGAGCCAGTTCGGGGTCCGCGCGACCGCGCGTTGAGGAGGTCTCAGGTCAGAGGCCAAGAAAAGAAGAAGAAAGTGTGAGTTCAGACGGTACAGCAGAGCTTACCAATTTCTTCAAGTACCAATGAGCATATGGTGAGGCGTTCCAATGGTACTGCATGCATTTCTCGCCAAGTGGAATCAGGTCGTCTCGGAATGTCCGGCCCTTCCGAGTAGAAGCGACGGTGAGATGAATTCGCTGCGAGAAGGACTGTAAATATATGGCCGGGATTTATATTTGGTTATGAAAAAAAAGATCGCTCCATGGCTCGCACGCCAGATAGGAGGCTTGTACGCATAAACTGACCACGACTCGTGGCAGAGCTTTCAGACAGTCTGGGTTTGGAAGTCGAGAGCCAAGATAACTAGCGCTGCGTACATGTGAGAAGGGCCGTTCGCCAATGCTACGCTGCCAGGTGGGCGTATACGTCAAGGCTGTTGATCGTTGCCCTGCACCGGGCCCGCCCGGTCTATGTATATGTGCGCAAGCCTCACCCGTGACGAGACTGATTATTTTGACATATAAGCTCAAATCACCTTATTACACAACTGTACCATGAGCCAACTATGGGGGTTTCCATACGGCTTATCTGATTTACATCCAATCTTGTCTCAAATATTAGGCAGTACTATACTACGTTGCTAGTAGCTATAACGAAACGAAGGATGTTCATCTCCTAAGTTGTCCACGTCGTGGTCTGAAAGCCGGTGGTCTCTCTTCCCGGCGTCTCTCGCCCTATTCTCCAAATACAGAAGACTACTATAGAGGATAACCAGGGAGGCTGCGACAGAGCTCATCACGGTCAGGGTCTTGTATCCGTCGGCGTAAGCTGGCGCCTGGGATCCCTGAAAGACTAGTGCCGATGCAATCCCGCCGAAATTCCCAAGGCTAACCTCGAGCCCAACCGCGAACCCGATCTTGTATGCGCCACTGACATTATTAACAAGCATAGTCCAGACCATAGGAAGTGAAACGTAAACCCCGGTTGCCATGAAAAACAGAGCGGCATATTTGACCCGTACATTGTACCAAGCCTCGTCCATCAGAATGACCGAGCCGGTAACGGCGAGGCAGTATCCGAAGAGGGCGAACCCTGAACGGTGCTTGAGCTTGTCTGAGGCATAGGCTGCCGCTAGGCATGCTACCAAGGCCGATGAAAAGATGGGGATCACCAGGGCTTGCACTTCTCGAGGGCTTTGGTCTTCTTGAAATTGGTTAATGATCGTGGGCGCGAAGATGGCGACGCTGTAGACTGTAACCGTTGTGCAACAATACATAGCCCCGCTGAAGATGTGGAATTGTCAGCCTCCTTCTCATCTGGTAATTAACTCCTCCCACCAAACCAAGGAGCAATGGCGCGGGGTGCAATTTTCTTACCAGATCCAGATCTTCCAGTCGAACAGAACTCGTCTCGCCGTTTTCCAGTCCAGCTTGTCCATTCGCCCAATAACACCCTGGTGACGAACTATTGCATGTCAAGATTAGCAGCGAATCCAACCATTTACGCAGATACGAGGCTTACTTTCATCAGCAATTGCTTGTTTTTCCTGGGGCGTGAGCCATTTTGTCGCGGACGGCCAGTTAGGTAGGAAAGGGAAGACAAGAATTGTCACACCCGCCGTTATACAGCCCTCGATGATAAAAAGCCATCTCCATGGCCTGTAGCCGTTGTCGGACGTGATGTCCGCAATCGAGAACCCAAGTAAACCCCCGAATGCCGTGCTCAAGGCGTTGCTGACCATGAGCATACTCACCCTCCACTGTAACTCGTAGCGAGGATAGTACTGGGCAAGCAGATACACGCTCCCGGGGATTAGGCCTGCTTCCAACGCGCCGACGAAAAATCGGAGGCTTGCCAATCCGGTAAAGCTGGTTACCAGGCCTTGTCCAACGGTCAATATTCCTACGGTGAATTTAATAATTGGTCATCTATATCTAACGTCGAGCAGATGTTGGCATGGGGCAATACGCACCAAGCAGCAGGTTCTCCGCGGTCAGGACCAAGGAAGGACTCATCTTCTTCAAGAGGTAGTTGCTGGGTACATCGAACAAGATAAGACCGACCATGGTGGTGATAAGGGCAACATTGAAGTCGGTACCTCGGGGGTCCATATGCAGGTCCTCCTCGATGCCAAAGATCTTGGCTGACCCAATGTTGAGGCGGTCAATCAGGGATACGAACCACAGTACGAATAAGGGTGGCAGGAGGTGGACGTCAAGTTTCCACATCAACTTGCGGTACTCCAGAGGTGGCAGGGCGACACGAGTGTGGCTGTCAACGTGTGTGGCCACGGTACTTGGCTCATGTCCGGTGACTACGTTTGCCTTTTCCATAATTGGAGCTGCGACGACTTGTGACTTGATGGAAACCATGTCGCAAGCACGTATGACGAGATGATCTGATGTCCAAAAGGAGTGATCAAAATGCATGTTCGCCTGTAGCTTGCGATCGGAGCTCTAGCTCTTACATGGCTAGAAAGGAGCATGCTCATGTGTAACGGGAGAGATTAAACTAGCCCACCCAAGGTAGGTATCGCCGTCAGTCAGCACTAAGTAGAGTAGATACTTGATAAGACCGACCAACAAGAGGATATATGACATGGAGAACGTAGCACCGAAGCTTCTTTCGGTCGAAATGGCCATGAAATAGTCATGAAATAGTCCCACGGCCTTCGAAGTGCTGACATCTGCAACAGGCCGCTATCTAATCACACCACCGTCGGGCCATTGGTTATACTGTGCATTGTCAGACCAATACTGCAACATACCCCTCCCTTCGCCGTGAGAAATCTCACCCGCAGGGCAGGGTGCTTGTGTGGTACAGAAACGTGGATCCACTGCCAGCAGACTTGCATTTCGTCCCGGCAAACGCGAGCGCGACAAGCCGCACTATTTACGAGGAACCGAGCTCTTGGAATTCCCCTAGGCGACTCTATAGCCTCTTAAAAACTTGCTGCATGATAATAATACTCTCCCAAGGCGTCCTCTAAAAGATCTTCAGCACCCAAGGTGGGTAAAATATCTTTCAACCTCCACTGACAAATTTTGGAGTATTCTGATGTTGAGCTAGAGTCCGAGACACCTAAGAAGTGGTTGACCCATCCTTTAAAAGCTAAGGATGTCGGAGCAGCAACTAATCCACGTCGCCATTGTGGGTGGTGGGATCGGAGGAGTGGTTTTGGGTATTGCACTTTCCAAATTCCAGCACATCACATACACCATTTATGAGTCGCGGGGCGCATTCGGCGAGATCGGGGCCGGCGTGGCCTTCTTCAAGAACGGCCACTCTGCAATGCGCCTGATCGACCCGCGCATCTGGGAGAGCTACTTGGAAATAGCGTCCTTCAATGGCTGGGAGGACAAGCAGGACGTGTGGTTCGACTTCCTGGATGGCGAGAGGGGCGAGAACGAGGGCAGGCGGATTGTCGAGGTGCAGATGGACAATCCAAAGGGGTTGAGTGGGGCACATCGCGCGAGTCTGCTGAACGCTCTGACGAAGTTGCTGCCGGCCAACGTGACGGAATTCAACAAAAGGCTGGTTTCGGTGGATCAAAGCCGGGAGAATGTGGTTTGCCAGTTTGCGGACGGCAGCCATGGCGAAGCAGACTTGGTGGTTGCGTGCGACGGCATTTGGTCCGCTTGTCGACCGCTGGTATTCGACGACCCGGAGTTGGCCTCCCCGAGATTTACGGGCAAGGTTGCGTATCGTGGCCTCTTACCTATGAAGCTTGCTGAAGAAGTCTTGGGGGATGAACATGCGAACAACAGGACCATGTTCCTTGGCCGCGGTGGCCATGTCTTGATGTTTCCAGTGGCTAATGGGGCCGTAATGAACGTCGTCGCTTTCCATGACAGTGACAAGGCTACGTGGGAGGGCGAATATATTCAGAAGCTACAGATGGGGAAGGCTCAAAGGGACTTCAGTGAGTCCCAGTGGGGGTCATGCGTAGTGAAGATCGTGGAAGTGAGTACCACCTTTCGAATGCCTACGTCTACACGCACGTTCTCATGTCTTTCAGCTCCTCCGACCAGACGTTTGGGCCATATTCGAACACGCGCCGGTGCCAACATTCCATAGTGGCCGGATATGTCTCCTTGGTGATGCAGCCCACGCAATGTCTCCTCATTTGGGGCAAGGGGCCGGAATGGCCATCGAAGACTCGTACATTCTTTCTAATCTTCTGAGCGCCTGTTCGTCTCGAGAGAACATATCCGCAGCACTCGCCGCTTATGACTCCGTCCGGGTACCACGTGCTATGAGAGTTGCCTCGGAGAGTTTCGAGAACGGGAAACGCTTGGATCTCCAAGGCAGCACTGCTGGGTGTGATTTCGATAAACTAGCTGCGGAACTTAATGAGGTAGCGAGGTGGATATGGGATCTGGATTTAGAGGAGCATCTGAAAACGGCAGCTGAAAAGCTTAAGCAAATCAGAAAATCATAACGGGGATATCGTTCATGTTCTTGGGCAGATGGTTGAACAAAACAATGAGAAGCTTTTCGCCTGGAGAACTGATTTGATTTAAGTTTTGACATGTGCACAATATTAGGGTAACTGGACATAGAGCAACAGGCTTTAGCTCTGACTATGCTTAGATTTAGCCAAGTGTTGCAAATTTGTCGAAGGGTTGAGCGAAGCATTCATCAGATGTTTAGCTCCGAGGCAGTGGAAATTGTATTGGCCAAGGACTGACGCTTTGCTCGGAACTTTGCTCGGAACCTTGCAGCCCTGCGAATGACATGACCAAACTTTCCGAAGGGGCGCATAGCTTGGATCTAAATAGACAGGGGACTGGTAGATAGCCTGCAGTGATGGTGACGACGCAGGTACCGAGAAACCGAAACTGAAGCTCTCTATGACGCGTGCGGGGGTAAAGACCTCGGGGCCAGTTGCCACCTTGCCTGAAGAACCGGCCAGAGCCTCTAATCCGAGGAGTTTCAGAGATCCGTTTAAGGCACAGCTCTGATCCCCGAGTCCCTGCGCGAATCCGGTAGCTCCCGCCGGCCCAACCTAGGTCCAAGACATTCCAAGAAGCCAATCATAATTGCGCAGTGGGCGCTGGATGCCTACCGATAGGGCAACGGTAACGAGCGCTAAGATCATTGGGGGCAGGTTTAAGCTTGATTCAAGCTTCAATGTCGCGTGCGGCTCCACCCTGTGATGGTCATCCACCCCCCACCAGACACGTTCACACGCGTGGCGATTCTCCGTCCCAGAGTGTGCCGAAGTCTGCGACGCCTCGACGGCTGGCCAGTGTCTCGCTCAACCATTGGATGCAGCTATGGAATGCCCAGAAACGTCAAAGTCATCCAAACGATCAAACAACTCGTGAAATCGTCCCAATTGGCTTGTCACGGGGCTTGGCAACCCGAGACCAACTCTGTTTCGACCCCGGCCGCCCGCCGCCCCGTGGAGCCAAGACGGCCTTCGAATCGCATCTCTGCTCGGCATCCGTACTATGCTGCCCGTCGGGCTTTCTGCCAAAAGACTTGGATGGAAATGAAACCAGCCTCACATACGAGAAGCCTCGTGATGAGTTGCGCATACTTTACACAGAGAGCTAGTTTTTGTTCAAAAGGCGACGCTCCCCTCTCCTCGGATCCCCACGATTTTCCTCCGCATCAATCTGTTCTAGTGTAAATATTAATCGTATTTCGACACTTTATCCACTCATAGATTTTCTCGAGCTGTGCTCTTTTTAGTCATTAAAAATATTCAATATGCGTTGCGCCGTCATCCTCTCCCTCGCCGCCCTGGCCGTTGCTGCCCCCCTGAGCCAGGGTCTCGAAGCCCGCCAGGACGACATCTCCAGCATCTTGGCCGCCCTGTCGGCCGAGAGCCCTGAGGATGCCCAAGCCGCCCAGGGTGCTCTGTGAGTCAACTGTTACCGTGATCAACAATGCGTCCCACACGCTAACGCTTTCGATCTAGGAGCGCTGCACCCGCAGCACCCGTTGCGCGCAGCCCCAAGAAGGAGGCCGCCGCCGCTGCTGATGACGATGAGGAGCAGCTGGACGCTGATGGGTACGAGCTCGACACCAGGAAGGTCAACGATGACGAGGACGAGCAGCTGGATGCCGATGGGTATGAGCTCGACACCAGGAAGGTCAACGACGACGAGGACGAACAGCTTGATGCTGATGGGTATGAGCTTGACACCCGCAAGACCAAGGACGCAGATGAGGAGAAGGAGGAGGAGGAGGAGATCGCTGCTGGTGAGGAGGACGCCTAAATTCACGACTCACTGATGGCATCTGGTGTGTCAGGTCAAGATTGATCAGTAGCGAACATGGTTAAGGCGCTCTGTTTGTCGTCATCTAGATGTGATGGACAACTCAGAACAGTAAATAACAACCAGTATAATAATATTTTCCTAGCAGTAAAGTTTTCCGTCCAGAAATGAGGCTTCATCGGGTTAGTGTTCCGAAAGATGAGGCATGGAATCTATTGGTGAAGGCCACAGTCCTTGTTGACCGTCTCCTGCAGCAATTCCGAGTCCTTGCTTCCACCTAGGCTTGTGTGACATTCTGGTGCCTCAAAAGCTCGCCCCCGGATTGCGACCGTAATTGCCTCGACGCTTACTTACATGAGAAAGACTACTCGTCCTTTGGCTTGTCCACTTCATCCCAAGCGGTCTTCTTCTGTCTCATCAAGTCAACCACGCCCTTTGTCCTGTGACTCTCCGGGATGAGATCCACCAGAGCCAGTTGCAAGTGATGCAGCCAGTAGGGACTAACATCCCTCCACCCTCGCCTGACTGCACCGTCCACCCTGTTCACAATATACGCCCCGTACGTATCAGAATCCGGCGACCCTTTGCTCGAGCCTAGGCAGTTGCCCTGGCTCCTCACGTCACCAGGCACGATACACAGGCAGTCGATGTGCTTCGTCTCAGCGCTCATCTCCAGCTCCCGAGCCAAGCCGCGACTAAACGCCAGGTTGAACGCCTTGGTCGCGCCGTACATGACCATCCACGGCAACCCAACATTGCCAGCCGAGCTCAGGTTGATGATGAGCGAGCGCCTGTGCGTCCCGAACGACACACCCTGCGCGTCAGCCCCGGCCCCGTTGTGCGCCAGCACGGGTACCATCAGCGCGGTCAGCCTCGCCATGAAGCGCGTGTTGAGGTCGATCACCGCGTCGATGTCCCCCGGCGAGTAGGTCGCGTGCTCGCGCCACGCGGGGAGCGCGACGGGGCACGACCCGACGTTGTTGACGAGGATGGACACGCGCAGCCCCGCGTCGATGACGGTCGCGCGCAGGGCGTCCTCTAGCTCCTGCGGCGTGGCGGTCTGCGCGTCCATGACGATGGTCTTGACGAACGCGTCGGCATCCGCCCCGGCGGTGTACTCGGGTGGCACCTGGGCGACGAGCTTCGCCGCCGCCTCGGCCAGCTCGTCGGCCTTGTGGCCCAGCAGGATGACGCCGAATCCATTCCTGACGAGGGCCTGGCCGATGCCGTAGCCGATCCCAGCGCTGGCCCCCGTGATGAGTGCATACGCCGGGTTGGGACCACGGCGGCGGTAAGACTCGAGGGGCTTGGCTGGGGTGGTGAAGTGGAAGAAGAGGAAGTCGACGATGCGCTCCGCGACAAATAGGCAAACGACCGTGCCGATGCACGCCAATATATGCACGAGGGATATGGTTATTCCCATCTTGCCTGTGAGCAGAGCACGCCTCGTGTGAGGTCAAGCGTCGATGTTGTGAGTTGCGTGGCCTCGAGATTGATGGTTGGAAGGATTTTATGTCGGCTGGGCCCGCATTTGCGGCCTTTATCGCCCGTTGGTTCCAGCCCCGGCACCCAACAGGCTTGGTCAGAAACGGAGAGAGACGATGCGGCACAGCAATGGCGACTATACTAGAGCACGTGATTTATCACACTTGTAGGGCCCGTTGCCCATCAAGATGTCGACAGTGATTGAATTTCTAAGCACCAGAATACGCAGGCAATAGGGTGCGTCTAGCAAGTGTCTACCTAGATGAATTGCAGGTGTATGGCTATTGTCATCGCTTCGAACTCACCTTTAATGGCGCTAATTTCTGCAAGATTGCTTAGGTGAGACACAAGCTTGCCACGTCAAGTTCCTGCGTCTCCTAAGAGTTTGAAGATTCTCGCTTTCGCTAACATCCGTGACAGACTGTCGCGGTAGCACGAGTTGAAGGTGCATAGAGCATGGATCATGTCATGCTCGTTAGGAAATCTTATATCGAATTGCATCAAGAGCTTCATTCTTCGTCATGTTCACCGACACTTGCGAGCATGACACAGACGTTGACATGCTGGTACTGTCCATACCGGGCCGCGTTGGGGAGTGTGCACAGAGTATTTGGGTTCTGAGGTGTCCGCGTTGAGCCAACAGAAAGACATCTAGCACCAGATGCAAGACTTGCAAACTTTTGAGAGTATCTCATAAATCAGGTTCAAATCTCCTGAGCATAACGAGCTGCTCACTTGTCACTAAGAATTTAATCAACAGGAGTTTCAAGGAGGACATCAAGGTCATCTCTAAAATTTGCAATGTCTCTCCCACCCTTCATTACTGTAGTGAACACGGTGATTATCTGAACAATTCATGTGCATGTCGTATATGTGATTCGAACTGTCTACTTCATAGGGGGAACCGTTTGGTCAACCAAAATTTCAAAGCAATGCCTTTCACCTACACCTAACGCCTGGGTATCACACTATTTAAAGCTCGACCTGTCATGTGGTATTTAAGCCATGGTTGATTGGTGAGGTTAATTAGGAGGATGAGCATTATGATACAGTATAGGAATCGAGGTAGCGGAGGGACTTGCTCGTAAAGATGTGGATTCTTCTTGTCGTCTGTTGGACGGTGATATCTGTCAACTTGTTTATACCTGTTTGTATCCACAATGTTTTAAATGAGACCAGTTCCTAAGCAAAACCTAGCAGTCTTGTACAGCACTAGAGTACATTGTCTTGCTGTTGCCATATCGGACGCTGAATAGCTTCAACGTAGTCCATGAGGATCTCAATCAGTTGAGGCTTACACCTGCAAGCTAAAATCTCTTCAGCGCAAATTCGATACGGTGATAAATCTGTCTTCCTAGTCCCTGGCATGGAGCATTGCCGGGAACACCGGGTGATGACACGGGTAAATAAAGCCAACGAATGGCTCCTTCGTGCGGTTGGAAAACACCATATTGCAGGAGCAAAGCACCCCAGGGCCTCTTCAAACTTGTCGACCGGGAGAGTGTTCCGCTATTATGCCAGAGTGCGCTTTATCAAGCCATCCGCCGCAACTGGCTCTACGCAGCAGATCACTTGTCATGGCCGTGTCATCCAGGATGGCGGCATGATTGCATCAGAAAGCCGTCAGTCCTGAATGGATATTTGAGATAGCGGAAGATTCTCTCAAACACAGCCTTGCTGTTAGTGATTTCTTTTATCAAGGACATTTAGATCTGTAGCAGTTTGTTTCGACAAAAATAGGCTTGTCTGCCCAACCAGACTGTCACTTCTTCCGTTGGCTGCCTCGCTGTCCTCCCAGCTTCCTTGCCCTCGAGAGAACATGGACGAAGCTATCAAAACTGAATCGCTCTTCTCAACACTGGCTCACAAAAGAGCAGATGGCTATGGTTGAACATGTTGTCATTACTAGAATATTTCTTTCGTACAGTCGTGTTGTGGTAAATAGTACTAAGTTACATGCGAAGCTGAAAAAGTAGAGACTGATGGTGTCTATAGCCGATCACGATCTCACCCCGGGGTAGCGGGCGTTTCTGTTGGCACAATCATGCGAACGACCGGTACTGGCCCATCTGCTCGAGCGGCCACTTGATGGCCTCCCTCCACCGCCGGGAGATGAGCCTCTCAATGTCTGTCGCGACGCTGATGCCCCAGCCCTTGACGAACCACGTCTTGCCCTCGGCCCTGTACATGATGCAGCAGTAGTACATGAGGACCAGCAGCGCGACCTCGTTGCGCTGCCGGACCAGCTGGATGTAGTCCTCGGCGATGGTGATGGGCCAGTACGTGGTGACGCGCATCTCGGCGTCGTCGGTCGTGATGACCGCCTTCTCGATGGCGTCGATGAGCTTCCTGATCTCGAGGTCCACCAGGATCACCACCAGGTTGTCGATGTCCGGCTCCCCCTTGATCGCCGCCGACAGGCTGCGCAGCTCCTCCGCCAGCCGGGGCATGAACGCGTTTTGCTTGTCGTGCGTCTGGAAGTGGAACAGGTCCTTGAAGTAGCCGGCCTGTATGCACTCCTCCGAGGACTGCAGCACGCTGGCCACGCCCCTGTCGAGGATGAACACGTCGACCATGTCCTCGATCGTCGGCGGCCTCTGACCCTCGATCAGTGGCGAGTCGTTGGGCCGGATGTTAGCAAACGACGCAAAGGCGCCTACGAGGAGCAGCGAAGACGCCATGAACAAGGCGTGGCAGTTCTCAGAGGTGATGTTCGCGAGATGGCCGCGCATCCCCTCGATGGACCGGTTCTGGTGCTGCGACGCGTGCAGAGAATGGTCGCTCCTCTGTCCCGGGTGAAGATAGGCCTGGTGGAAAGCGGCCACCGCGAGGATCTGGTGGACCAGGAACGGGTATCTGTACGCGAGCTTTGGGACTTGTACCTGCCAAACGTGCAGTTCGTCCTGTGCTCTCGGGAGGGTCAGCGAGGTGGCGACACTGTAATGGTGCATCAACTCGAGGTCCTGGATCCACGCAGCCTCGCGCTCACCGCCAATTGGGAGCATGAACTTGTCGAAGTACGGAAAGGGGTCCTCATCCACGGGGGGCGGCGTCGTTGTCTTGTGCCTCTCGGGGTCGGGGCAGAACGTCACCGTTGCTGTCGGCGTCTGTATCGCCGATGGATCCGGAGGGCTCAGACTCTGGAAAGGAGAGCCGACGACGGAGTTGAAGTCGGGCAAGTCAGGCAGTGAGCGTCTCTGGTTACGGAACTGTCAGACTCATTCATGTCCGTCGCATCTCGGCCGGAATGACCAGACCAGCCGAACGGTTGGGAGGTTGGATCTTACATGATCCATCGCCGCCGAGAAGCTGGACTTTAAGCCCTCGGGGCTCGCTGAGCTGGTCGTCACCGAGCATTCCCGTTCCCGCTGCTCCCGCTGCTCCCGCTGCTCCCTTTGCAGGATAGCCGGGGGAGGGTTGTCCAACAGGCTGCATTTCACATCGTGTCGTATGCAGGCCGAGCAAGGCCTCTTCTCATCGCACTGCCATGGGGTCAGCTCAAGTGTCTCGGCCAGGTCGGAATCGTGCGCGGGCGTGAAAAAAATAGAGGCATATTGTTGGGGATAAAGGAGTCCAACGATGAGGAGTGCCAGGAGGCGAGATGGACACAGCACCAGGCCCCAGAGGAGCGGCGCGGTGGGTCATGTCAAATAACTCACCTTGACACGTCGCTGCCTGCATCGCATACACCCATTCCTCGACTTTGTATAACCAAGTCGCGGCATAGAGGCGGTGATTGTTCATCCAGATCTCGGTGGTTGTCCAATAGGGTGGATTGTTGTTTGCGTTAGGTTAGCGAGAGCGAGAGCGAAGTGATAGCCGGGGGTCGAGATGGTTGAGCTTGGTGTGACGGAAGTGGCCCACACACGGCGGATCAGTGGCCCCGACGAGACAAATCAAACAGATACAGTTCGCGTTCTCGGGAGAGCAGGATGCCGGACGAGGTTGAACATTCAAATATAAAAGTCGAGGACGGTGAGGCCGCCTCTGGAGTGCATTGAGCGGCAGCTTCGGTGTCTTGACGTCTGGACTCGGCTAGACTTGACACATTTCGAGGTTTCGAGGGGCCCAAGGTTGGAACATGAAAGAGTCGAGAGGGCCTGGTGGGTTGCCCAAGTCCACGGTTAGCGGCCAGCGCTGATCTCGGACTTGAAACCGGGTTAACTGTGACAATGGCTCCGCAGCGACCTATTCGTCGAGCGGATAAACTACAACCTGGCTAGCTCTCCTCTCCTCGCCTCCAGCCGCGACTGATTACTCTACTGCACCAGACTCCAAAATATGTTTCTCAGGATCGAGGGCCGAGCGTGCCGCCTTTTTTCAAGCCACTGGTCGTGCAGCGTGCAGGTGTCGCGAGTCGCCAGAAATAGACTGAGATCCATACCTTGTTGGGCACTGGCTGCCCCCTCGACAGGGTCTCGGCGTGTTTTCCTGACCGAGCCAGTTGCGGAGGGGTTTGACGGGCACAGCTATATATATACCTGCACTCCACGATTGCTTTTCTTGGCTTGTCACGCCGCTCATAAAACGCTTGCTCTCACCTGCAACGTCTAGTCACAAGTGCAGCCAAATACGTTGCCAAGCCTGTCAATGTCCCCTTAAACCATGCCGACATTTGCGTTCGTAGTGTCGGGCCTCCACCTTGCAGGATGCTTCAATGACGTCGATGAGCAGCAGCGGATGACAAAGACTGCCATCGGAGATAACCATGATGTTACCATGCCACGGAGGGAAACAGCTACTTCCTAGACGTGGAAGAGCTCGCCGGTTGCGGAATAGATCATGCTAAGCCTACTGGTTAATATCTGCGTGAACAGCTTACGAGCCGTTCCGTTGACACCTTGTTCATGCGCGGAAGTCTCCGCGGTAGGGAAGGCCTGCGGCAAATTGACTGACACGCCTAGCACATGATGCGCACAAACTTATAGCGCTCTCAGTGTTGCCTTTCCTCATCGAATGTGAAATCTTGGCAATAATCCCTATAATCTCAGGCCCTGGGCCGTGTTGACACGTGCTTAGTAAGGGCGGCGATAACGTCGAGTTTCTGTCTTTCTTGTCAAGTGGGTTTCCATGGACATCGAGAATCAAAAGCTGGCTTATTCCAGTGCACACATAAAAATCAGACGCACTGGTCTCGGTCAACCAGCCATGAGGAACTTGGTCGACTATCCAATCATTTGGGTTTCATTGACAAGTTAATGAATTACAAAGGAATACCTCATAGATCAAAGCTGGAACACGCAAACAAATCATCCAGGTAAGGGCAGAGTGAATCTACTGGCAATACAAGTATTCTCAGATTCCACTTTTGACTATAAGTGTACCTAGTAGGGCTCCCTCGACAAGACATGCTGTAGTGGAGCTGACATTCATGCTTGGGATGCTTAAACCAATGCTTGAGTACAGGTGCGTTTATATGGACAAGGGTTGGGTTGACAATGGCAGATCCCTTTGCAGAACACACAGTCCGAGTTTCGATCTGAAGCTCGCAGTCGCAATAACCACAGCATGTGCGGTGGGACATAGGAGGCCTGTCAATAAATTAGTTCCTGCCAGCTGCATGGATTTCAGACTCGTCCTGCCATCTGTTCACCTCATTGCACAGGAAGTGGAGTCAATGAGATAAACGGAGTCGCGAGTCCTGCAGAATATATGTGGCCCAATTGCTCTCACCAATGCCAGAACCTGCAAGGACACCAGGTTATTTCCATCCATTCAGTAATGGCGAATAATTCCGGCCATGTCTCCTTGTGTCCCACTCGCGGAGGAGGATCACCCAGGTTTGCTGCAGCAAGTCCATACGGCCAGCACACCACCTTGTGACCGCGGCCCTGCACCACCCCCACGGCGTAGACACTCTCGCGCTCTAGGCTCTGGGAGTGAGCTTCCCAAAATCTGGCGAATTCTCCTTGCGTCGTGCAGGTTGCGATCCCGCACGCCGCCCACACCAGGAACGAGTTGTTCGACGGGTAGCCGTGACGCCTTAGCCACTCCCGACAAGCTACCATGTTGTCCCGAGACTGCTGATCCTCCTCGCTGGCTACGTCGGCCCGGGTCTTGTCCAGGCACTTCCGCCACAAATCCTTGTTCCGCGTGGTCGAGCAGCCTACGAAGAAGTAGGTCGGTGGTGGCTGCCAGGCCCCCTGCTTCGATCTTGGGTGAGGCATGCCAGAGGCGGCCAGTCGTTTCTCGTGCAGCTCGGCATGAGCGGTTAGCCAGCGCTCGCACATTGCACGATCTTGGCAGTCAATGTCGTCGGGCTGTGAATCAATAAGCGACGTTGTTCATAGTTGACTGTCGAGGCCAGACTGACCACGATGTATGTTTCTAAGCTGCGTCTTCGCGACACATCTGGCAGCGCTTGCTCCGAGTCGGGGTCCCGGCACTGATTTCGTGCTTCTAGTCTCGCTACACCATCGATAGCCAAGACGATGGACTGGCAGTCTGGAAGACCGTGTCCAAGTATGAAGGAGTCGCAAGCTGCCTTGTTCCTCGCACGCGCAACTTTCACTTCTTGCGTTCTTCTTAGTGCCGACCGCCAAAGTCTCAACCCCCAAATAGCCATAATCGTTGCTCCGAATATACCCAAGCCTGCCGGTGTTTTTAGTCGGGTTTGAAAGTGTCGCATGAACTTATTGTAGAAGATCATTCTAGCCCGTTTGAGAAGATAGTACGAAATTTAAGGACGATTCTCCGAATTTGAGAATTTAGCAGGTACAAATATTGTTGAGAAAGGAGATGTGATTTATTTGACCTAAATGGCTGCCTGTACCACCCTGTGCCCATCAGTAGAGTCCGCGTAAGCTGCAGCAATCCCCAAGGCAGACGTCAAACTTGCTTGTGCAGCCAAGGCTTCGCTTGTAATCATTGGTTTTTTTGGTTTTTTTTTTTTTTTTGACCATGAGAAATACAGCTGACGGTCCAGAACTATTCCTATATACTAAGACCACCTTTCACCGTCGTACTACTGTTCATCCTCTCGCTGGTGAGGCTTTCGGCCATAAACGATGTAGCTAAGGAATTGGGTAAGCAAGTGGTGGATCTGAGGTTTGCAATTACCCTCCTCTTGAGCGTTGAGGTTGACTTACATTGGGTAGTAATAGTGTATGCGGGTATCGCAAACATCAATGCTTGCCAGGCGGAGGAGTTCTTCAACCTCGTCTGCTTCAAGTCCGTAGTTCCTCAGCATCTTCCAACACATTCCTCGAAGAGCCCGGTGCGTGTTCGTCATCAGCCACCGCCCAAGCTCCTTCCATCGTGGCTCGACCGGCCACGGATTACCTGCAAGCATGAGCAGACTCGAAACAGCCACCAAAGACATCTTGTAGAAAATGCATGGGCTTACCAGGGCCGGGCCCGACTTCTTCGACGACACCCACAAACCCAGCGTCCAACAGCCACTGCTTGTAGTTAAGCGGCTTCTGCAGATCGCGGCCAATTGCCAGTCCTGCCTCGATCATGGTCCGGTTCAGCCTTAGCAGGTGTGTACCCTCCAGGGTGTTGTCGTCGCACAGCGTCTGGAAGACAGGGTCCATGAGCTCGATCCAACCCCCCGGCCTCATGTTATCAAACGACTTCCGGATCACCGTGCGGTGGTCGTCGAAGCAGCTGACTGCGAGACGCAGGTGCACGTAGTCGAATGGATGCGGATGGATCCAGTCAGAGTGCTCTGAGTCTTCCTTGAAGAATTGCACGTTCGGCACGACGTCAACTAAGTATATGTTGGTCAGTCGCAATTAGACTTGACATTCTCCGCGGCGTAGAATCAATATAATGCCGCATGAGACGGCAGGTAGCCATCATTTCCTCACAGGCGAAGAGTCGTAGTGTCCGCCAGAGATATAGATGCACCGTCTTATGTACTCACTCGGCTGGATCATGCTAAGATCAGTGCCTATCACAGTCGCTTGAGGATGGTGCTGGGCAAATTTGATAGCCCAAATGCCCGTCCCAGTGGCGATGTCGAGCACATACTCTGGGCGCCCAATTGGAGCACGGTAGAGCGCACCACCCAAGTATATTGTGAAAGCCTTATGCTGAAGGTCCAACCGATCCTGCTCAGCCTGCTCGCAAGACCCCTTATCAGCGGCTGGCCGGGCCAGTTCGCCGGTGCTCATGGGCCGCACGTACCGGGTCGTTGGGCAGGAAGTACCTCCCCGTCTCATGGTTGACGTAGGTCCGTCCACTCTCCTCGTCCAACACGGCGCCCGGTTCTGCAACCGAGCTCCCTGTCGGTTCCCGTATGAGCTCCTCCGGCACGGGCCGAGACGATGCGTAGAGGACATAGCCATTGTAGTCCAATGCCGGGACCAGAACGTCTTGGTTCAGCACACTCTGAGGCGGTTGGAACGTTGCGTCTGCTCCAGGTAAACCATGACCTGGCTGGCTCGTCTGCGCATCGATACCGAGGTATTGTGCGGGGTTTCTGGCCTGATCGTAGATGGCCGTCTCATCAGCTACTGTCGCATCAGGTTTGATCTGGTATGCATCTTGGGAATGCTCCTGCTCTTCTCTTCTTGCCTGACGCATCTGGTTAGAATCTTGATTGTGCATGGCTGCTGTCAAGCTTACACACCCAGTGCTCGCAATACAGAGCAGTCAGAATACTAGCCCGAGACAGAATTTAGGCACGCCGTGACCAATTGCTGTGCCCCCACGGTGGCGTTACCTAGTCTGATCCTTCTACTCCAAGCCAAGCATACTCCGGGTACCTCAGCACCAAGACACTCCATTGGTCAATATTGAGCGATCACGCGTCAACATAACGAACAAGCGGACATCAAATCAGAAATCTTCTGGGCGCGGTATAAGTTTGAGCACGCTCTTGTAGACCGATGAAAAGACAGACACAGTGCTACACACAGTCTTCTAGGGCAAACATCCTAGGACTAGCTCGTCCATGGATGATCACTGTCAGAATGATGTCAGTGAGTATATTACGTTGAGAATTATAAACAAGTCCCATGGATGGGGGCAGTGTCGGATCATCGGGCGCAAAAGAAAGTCGGCAATGACCCATTCGCTATAAGTGACTGGCCAGTCTGCAGGCTCTCCCCTTTGACGTATTCAACAAAGACGAATGAATATTTAAGTGTGTTTCTGTGTTGATTTAGACCGTCTTATAGTGCCTCAGATCTAGGGCTCGTGAATGACGAAAGATGCGCAAGGAAGGTTGAGGCTGAATGAGATGATGAACCAGACGTTGCACACAAGGTCAATCTAAACAGGCTTACTGTTGAGAGTTGCGGTGTGGAAACGGAACTGCCAGTACAACTATAAAGCAAGTCCTCTAATGCTCCGATCTGCGCTGTTGCCGTCACACAAAACAGCTCGGGAGGGTTTTCCAGCCTAGTTACTGCGTTCCACACACTATTTGCCACCATTTTCACTATGCCGGAAAGTTCTGCTCTGGCTTCTGAGGCTATGAGACATGGTGTGACCATATAAATTTATCGCACTAGACTAGTTCGAGGAGTCGCTCTCTTAGATGGAGCCACGAGGACCTGGATAACCATTATTGGTTTACAAGTCAAATCCAAGGACAGGTAGTGGCCAGGGAAAATGACAACAACCTGCCACTGCACACGAAGTCAGACTTTCTTTGGCCTGCATCAAAGGCGCACAGACGGCGCGGCAAATTGCACACGTGTTGAATTCCATTTGTACTTCCTTGTGGGGGTATAAATGCCGATGATAACTGACGCGCAAGCCGTTCTCCCCCCTCTCTCACTCTCACATCAAATTGGGCAAGGAAGAGAGAAGGGCCCTTGGAGGCGCCAAAAGAAAAAAATGATAAAGACCAAAATAAATGACCCCGTCAAATTCGAGCTGAATGAGGTCCACATGTACGCGAAGATTATGGCCTAGTAGCCATCCGGGGGGTATCGTAACATGCTTTGCAACCGTGACCCATGTACGCCTGGCCCCCGTCTATATCCCGTGTATACTCCTCAGTAGTAGCCGTCGTCCCATCACATCACATTCATCTTAACCAACCCCCTCCCGACCCCCATCCGTCCATTATCAAGCTTCTCATACCAACATTATGTGGGGGAATTACCCCCCTTCTCTCCTCTCCCCCGCGGAAAATAGAAGCAGCAACTTGAGTCCTTGCGCCGTGCTGCATGTCTCCTTTTGGGGTGGTTTTTTGACTCCTCTCGTAAATTCAAAAACGCCGCTCCAGGCGGGCAGATGGCCATTCCCTCCCTCTTTTGCCTTGGGACATGGGATCATCGCCGCTGTGGTGGAAATGCATTGGGTGAGAACGTACGATGCCTGGTCCCGTCCAAAGAACATACGTCTTTTCTCTCCTGTTGTGCGCGCCGGTACATAGCTGCGTGTGGGTTGTGCCTCCTAAACACACGAGACAGCTTTTGCGACCTCCACCGGGTTCGGGTCTCTGCCTCCTTCCCCCGCGTATTTTTTTCAACGTCCCTTCAACCGCCGGTGTGATTGGGGTTATGATACGTCATCATCATCGGCCACTGGCCCCCCTGAGCACCCGGCACCGACACCGCGGCGTGGGGGCCGGCGCCGCCGCCTCCCCCGCCGCCGCCGCCCGGGTCGCCCGACCCCCGCTGCTCGCTGCCCAGCGCCAGCAGCGCGCTGGCGTTGTAGCGGTCCTGCGAGGAGGGCGGCACGCCCATGGCGATGGCGCCGGTCCACTCGTGCCAGGGGTTCGCGCCGTTGGGGACCTGCGGCACCGCGCCGGGGCCGCCGCTCATCCAGCCTGCCGCGGCTTGCTGCTGCTGGTGCTGCTGGTGCGTCTGGGCTGCTGCTGCCTGTTGCGGGTTGTTGTAGGCGGCCATCGGGTTGTGGGTTGCTTGCGGTGAGTTCCCGGGAGGGGTGTGGTTCATCTGGGCGGCCGCTGCTGACGCTGCCGCGGACGTGGTGTAGAGATATTGGTGGTGTGCTGATTCCTCGGTGACTGCTGGGATGTAGGATGACTGCATGGAGCTCGACGCCGAGGTGGGTGTGGAGAGGGCCGACTGTGTGAGATCAGCGTATCCCATCTGCGGATAGGCCGTGGTCGGCGTGGTCATCGAGGGGTTGTAGTAGGAGGCGTTCGCCATGCCTGGCGCGCGATGGATTGACAACTGCTCCGTTCCATTCACCATTGACATTGAATTCGGTGTCGTGCTGTTGGATCGAAGTGATGGTCGCCTGTGGGCTGCCGAGCCAAATCCCTCCTGCTTGACTGCCACGGCGAGGTTGTGCTGAGGATGCGAAGAAAACTGTGAGACCGGCGTGTTGCTGCTGTTGCTGTTGCTACTACGTCTTGAACCCAAGTCGTTTTCAATCGAAGCAACCGTGCGGTCGATCACAGCACTGATCTGCGGCATTAATCGAGAATCGGCTCCTGAGATTTAGTTATACAGTGAGCAAGAGAGTATAAACCTTGATAGGTCGTCAATGACACTTACCGATCCCAAGGTATTTCGACACCTCCATTATTACTGATAACCCCATATTTATGTCAGCCCTCAAGCTGGCGAAATCGGCCAGCGTCATGTCAAACCGCCTCTCCCAGTGAGCAGCGAGAATTGTGAACACCGCGGCCACGTAGACAGCCAGCTGGTACCAGGTCGTGTCGAGCGACTTGAGCCTCGACAGCTCGCTCGCGATCCTCAGGATGCCCCTCGCCGAGTCCTCGGACACCCTGCTGTTCTCGGCGACGAAGTTCGGGTCGGTGCTGCTGCAGCGGGAGGGGTGCCGCAGGCAGAACAGGAACTCGTGGTTCGACCCCGCCAGGTACGACGCGCGCATCTGGTTCTGCGGCTTGCACTTGTCCACCTGCAGCTCCTCGGGGAGCTCCCGCTCGTAGTTCCGGAACTGGTGCTCCAGCCTCCGCACCGACGCCATGTACTTGCCCGGGTCCTGGCGCACCGAGTACACGTTGTTCCACAGCTCCATGAACAGGAACGACAGCTTGAAGCCCGCGTGGCCCGCGAGCCAGCAGCACTCGCCGATCCGCTCCGGCTCCGTGATGCCCGTCTCGTCGATGCACTCGTCGGGGATCAGGATCGGCAGCTCGGTGTCGAAGTCGTCGGCCCGGATGGGCATGGGCTTGCCGACTCGGCCGTACAGTATGACGACTATCATGAATATGCTCCACCACAGACGCTTCCGCATCTCGTTCTCCAGGGTAGTGGGTTCGTCCTTGTCAAGAAACGCGCGGTGGAGGTTCATGTCCATGGCTCTCGTCCACGCCAAAGTGGCCATCAGATAGACAGGCCCTGGTTTCGGGAAGCCGCGACAGTGAGTTAGCATTAGCACCAAGGCCTGGGTAGAAGGAATAGACATGTCGCATCCTAGGTCCCACGTCTTGTCGAGGCACCAATGATAGTGCCTATTTGACAATTCGTTCAGCTGGGCTTTTCTGTCTGGGTCCTCGCTGTCCCGCACGCTGAACTGGTAGTACATGATGGCGAAGACCATGTGCACAATAGCCATCTCCGCTGTCGACGCCTTGTAGTTTTGGTCATCGTATATCCGCGAAAGCTACGGCAGCCAACACATTAGAGGGAATCCTTATATTTAGCCACAGGCCCAGAACTGAATAGAGAGACATTACCAATCTGAGGTATGTCGGCTTGTGAAGGACGGGCATGAAAGGGCCCAGCATGACAAAGAACCACTGGGAGTAGCTGAATGCCTCGTCTCTGGCGGGTAAGTGCGCGTCGAGGGGTGGGTTGACTTTGGATACGGAGTTGATGAAAGATTGCAGCGACTTGTTATAGAGCGGCGTGTTGTTTGGTACGCCCGGCGGCGGGCCGTCCACGTCCGGGGCGCTGAACGAGGTGATGTCTATCGTCGTGCCTAGTATAGATAGCTGAGTGCCATTGATACTACTCAGGGGTGCACTGTCAGCCGCGACACCCAGACGGGCATCGGTCGTCCTCGGATCCGCGGCTTGGAGGGAAGATGCCTGCAGCACGGAAGAGTAGCTGTTCGATGACCTGTCAGATGTTCGACTGGAGTCTTTGACCCATAGGGAAAAGAATTGTGTCCATTGGTCCTTGCTGGGGTCGTTGTCGGCGTCGAAGGGCGTGTTTAATCCGTAGGGCGGAGTCCACTGCCACGGCCTAATCTGGACACCTTTGTCTTCGAGTAACCTCTCCATGTCGCGCAGCCGTGTCATCATGTCTCTTTTCTCGCGCTCGAGCTGTTGTAAATAGCCGCGGCGTTCCGTACGCCCGCTGACGCGATCGGTGACATAACATTCGAGGTTCTGCTGGGCGCAGGGGGAGCATCCTTCGGGTAGACCATCGCAACGGATCTTGCGCACCTAAATCTCAAGCCACCACGAACAAAGTCAGCATGAACCACGGTGTGGGATTTGCGGTAGAATGGGTTTAAAACATTGGGCTTCCTTCTGAGACCGCGAATTCACTATTTGCTCCACGTGTGCGCTCGCTTGCTCATTTCTGACAGCGGTCAAGTCGTTTCTGACAATAGAACCCGCTTCTGATGGTACAGCATGCACGATGATGGGCGCTTCACGTTTCCATGACGCAAGATAAGAATCTGACTGTGGAGCAGCCATTTCGAGCCCTCCAGCAGGGATCTTACATGGTTTGCAATGGAATTAAAAGAGGGAGCAAGCAATAACGGCAACGTCGACGCACCTTGCAGCGATCGCACGCCTGGCCAGTCCGGGTGTAAGATTGCAATTTGTCCTTGACCACCTGCGAGAAATCCTCGGGCCCCCTCTCGAGACGGGGCAGCTTGACCTTGGACGCACCAGGCAAGCTGTCCTGAGGAGGCTCGGCCAGGTCACCAGGCCTCTTCGAAAGACGTTGAGGCATGATACAACGTGGGTGGCGACCAACCGGTCAGCAGCAGGTGTGGTGCAAATGCAGTGAGCCTCCCCGTCCGGCCCGTCCAGGCTTTTCCAGCAAGGTTCTGACTGTGTGATCTGCCCAAGTCTGCTGGTTGATGGGTCGGTCCCACTTGGCAAGCAATGGTGTTGGTTTGTAATGCACAGCAAAGAACGTGGCGTTCACACCGCAAACCCGGGTTATTGCTCTGCGGCCGAGAACAAGCGGAGCGGGATCGAGTGCCCGGTGGCTCGATGGGTTGGTTGCGGCTCCTCAGCGGCGGGGGCGTATAAGAATCTCACCACCTCTCGTTGGAATTCCTCCTGTGCACCGGCACCACCAACACACTGCAGACCTTCGCCGCCGAGCCCTGGATCGAAGATGGATCGCCGCCCCTTCCCGGACCAGATCAGACCAGTCTATGGCCCTAAGCCTCGGGGCAGGCTCCGTGCCAGCTGATTGGCCTCTTGCGGATATCACGGGGTGAGACAACGTATGTGATATGGAAAGGGATGGACCGGTTATGTGGCTGTCCGCGGAGGTGCTGCTGTGTCGGTCGCACAAGCCGGGATGGTCGTCGGTTCGCAGTGGGCGTTTAGGGCGGGTGTGAATTGGGTTTTGGACCACCAAAAAGGCTAGGAATTTTCGGGGGGGGAAAGACAGACAGACACAGCTGAGCTGGCTCCGAAGATGACCAGTGCCTGCGGAGCGGAGCGCAATTAGCACGGCGGTCCAAGGGGATTAAACCTTGAAACCTTGGGACGCTGGGAGGGAGCTAAGAGCTGAGCCGGGAGCGAGGGAGCAGCCGCCCGGGAAGAACGGGTGCCAGATAGTGCAGGTGGTTATGTAGACAGACCATCGAGTCTCGCCGCAGTGCCCAGACCCCCGGAAGCAACGGGCAGGTGGAACGGCGAGAGGACCAAGGGCGTTGGTCACAGGTTGAATCTCAGCACTCTCGACGGGGTGTGGGCCCTGGGCGCATGTAATCCGTCTGTATATGCGTGCACGCCCTCTGGAGAGTGACCAGTTTCCCCTCCCGAACACATGCCAACAGGGGCACACAAACTCTCTCCTCTCTCACACACAGGCAAACGCAAACGCACTCACGCACTCACGCACGGTACAGTACGCAGGAGGTGTAAGTATGAGTGTGGATGGATGGGTTAGGCTCTTGTGTACGCACTGGCGTACCGTACAGGACCCTGTATTCTATGGCCGGCATGCCCAAAAAAAAAATTGGAGCGTCTGCACTGCCCGCGTTGCCTGCCGTTGCCAGCCGTTGCCAAACAGAAGGGGGAGACGCGAGCGTGCGTTATCGCCACCGGCCTGTGGGTGCCGTACCGCCCAGGTTCCACAGTGTGGCCCCCAAGGTCCCCTCTGGCTTCGAACTGTTATAGTGCGCCCTGCTTGGCTGTGCTCTCGAAATCGTACCCAAACCGCTGGGAAAGTGGGCTTTGCTCGAGGTCGCCGGAAATTGCAGCTCTCAGGGATGCCAAAGCTTATTGGTCCCCTCTGGAATGCCCCGGCTGTCTTGCCTACAGTCTGTCCGTCTGTCCGTCTGTCCGTCTGTCTGTGTATGTCGATGAGGCGAGGAAGTGGTAGTGAGAGCAAGGAGTCGGTCATAGATGGCTGGTGAATAGAAGAAGGGAATATATATATACATCGGCCTCCTGGGGCAACCTTCCTGAGGCTTTGTCCCCAGCGCCTTAGGACGAAGATCCCGAGGGCCAGCCCCAAAACACTGGCATGTCCAGAGTCAGAAGGGTCACAGATCGGCCACAGGGTGGATCGGGTGCACAGTCTGTGTCACTTCAGTACGCCGTAGCTCCTGCACTACACAGGTATGGGATATAGCCAGCAGTGGGGGGTCGCATTCTAGGTGTGTGAGTGAGTGTGTGTGTGTGGTGTGTGCGTGTGCGTGTGCGTGTGTGTGTGCTGCCCTGTGTGTGGGTGTCTGTGCCAGTTGGCTGTTGTGTGACAGGATCGGCCTGTCATGCCGGGATGGACAGGCAGACAGGCCAGACAAGACGCGACGCTGTCTGTACAATGCACTTCAAGTTGCACGCCCTGCTACTGTGTGTACACTCTATAGATCGCGTCCCAAAGGTCGAAGCCATCCCGAGATCTAAGCCCCTCTTGCGGTAGGCGTCAAAATCTGACAGATGACGGAATGCCCCTGGCAGACTGACTGACAGACAGGCCGGCCAGACAGGTTTGCATTGCGGACAGGGCAGACAGGGCAGACAGGCAGGTAGCTGGTGCATCGTGTACCTGTATGGAGTAACCATGCAGGTGGAGCATGAGGTGCTTGGGTCCTTGACAGGCGGTCAAGGGTCTAGACCGAGAGACGATGCAGCAGCGACGGTCGTCAATGGCAAATCCTTGCCAATCTGGTCTGTGGGTGAAATGACTTGAGTCCCGAATGGGAGGTGCGGTGCGTGGCAGCCCTGAGGAGGAGATACATAGTCTTGTTGGGCGACGAAAACACATCTCCACGTAACACCTTGTAGAACAAAAGATGTGTTCATGCAAGGTTTGGCCTCCCGGCTCCCTTGGAGATCGAGCCAGTCTCGCAAAAACCCGTCCAGATGCGATCAGATGCACTGGGATCGGATCTTTCGGGCCAGCTTTTAAGGCTGAGACAGGCGGGAGGAGACAGGGGGCCGACAACTAGGGCATGCCAGGACAGCTTCCGAGGTTGTGTCGAGGCGACACCAACTATGGCCCAGCTAGGTAATACCGCGCTGGCGGTGCTGCCCACCTGTGGACTCTCTCTCGCACCATCCCCATCTCCTCCTCCAGGGACTCCCCATGGTCCGGATACTGACCAACTAGACGTGCTAGACCACCATGGTGCAATGCTTGTTTCTTGTGGGGAGCACCAGGAGCTCCCATCGAATTTTGGAAGCTTGGAAGCTTTTCGCGTCGACTCAGCTCCCGGCCTCGATACCACCTCGAGGACAGGCATTGCTGGTCCTCGAGCAGCCCGCCGGCCTGGCCGACGGCGCCGGTCGCACCTTTGACAGCTGTCAGTGTCAGCAGCAGCAGTGTCCCGAGACGAGATCTCAAGATCAGAAGGATATTAAATTCCGCATCCATCTTCCGTGTTCCGCTCCCCCCGTCACGCATCCCTCTCTGTATCACGCAACCATGACTGACAAGATATCCCCACTAGATCGAGATGAGCTTGGAAATATATTGATTGTCCCATGTAGGGCACGAGGCAGCTTAGTGGGGCCGGCGATCTCAAATGGGGTATAACAGGAACCCGTATTAGCCACGGTTAGATTCCGCTGTATGCTCATCCGACTCAACAGTGCCAGACGGCCCTGGCAGTCTTGGAAGCCCACTCTCACACATTGGCATGGCGAGGACCAAGGACGATAAAGTGGAATTGTGCTGCGCGCCCCAGACCGTTGGCCGCTCCTTTGACCCTCCCAAGGCTCGTCTTATTCGCTCAGCTAACCCACGCGGCATCGCGGATCAAGATTGGAAAATATGGGGACTGTCCTTGGTTTTTGCCAGGCACGGTGATGCTTCGGTGTAAGCTCGCCGCCATCACCATAGCCCACACCTTACGCAGTGATCACCTCTTGGCTTGCGGTTTGGGATGTGACGTCGCATGCCGGGCTCCCGGATGACCCCGATCTGGCGTCGGCCGAAGGCTTGCGAGTCAAGACGGTCCATTCAGCCCTGGATGGAAATCAGGACAATCCAACTCTCCAGTGTTATGCGATGGGTTGCCGCATGAAGGAAGATCTGATCAATTTCAGCCCCCCCCCCCCCCCCCGCAAGGGATGTTCCGCGGGCGCATGAGGAATCATTAGGTATGGCGCTTGTGGTCCGCTCCGCTGTGCCTTTACGCTGCGCCAAACGCGCCGTCTCCCCTTAATTGTCACGCCGAGGCATTCGCTTCTTGGCCCCAATTCGGTCCAAGTGGCGCCTGCAGCTTTGCCCGCGAAAGGGAAAATTGTCCGGCGAGCAAGCGAAGTTCCAAGGTCCTAATGTTCCAATGTTTTAACGTGGCAAAGGCATGCTCTTGCCAATCATGTTCTGCCGAGCGAGCGTGTGCTCCGTAGGCGTCCTAATGCACAATCAGCAGTAGTGGCGCGCTGTTGGTGTTGGAGCGCAGCAGGGCACCGGCCTTGCTTGGGGACCGCGCCCGGACCTGACCGGGCCGGTCCTACCAAGAACAGTCAGGAGGCATTATGGCCTTGTTTCTCCCAGAGACAAGAGACGAGACTCCAGGGTCATCATGGTCGACCTGTCTGCCTATCCACTTGCTTAACAGGGCCGAACTATTCATTCCATCACCAGTGGGTCCCCGCTCGAATGCCTCGGAAATTTTTGCTCGGCTTGTCAGTGGATGAATGACACCGTATGATCCAAAGACCACGTCGTATGGCATTGTGCCACGCGCTAGGTCGATATCAAGCCCGTACACAACAATACAGTACAGAAAAGACTGGTACATGACAAAATCCTGGCAGAACGAAGATCTTCCCCAACGTCCCATCCGGGCCACCCATGTTCAGAGGTGACCGTCCCGAGGTTAGACGCGGTTGTTTCGTTATAGCGTGCCGGTCAGGCTAAATGCTGTTCCCCCCTGGAGGAGTATTCACCCTTCTGAAAAGCGCCAAGAAAATGGAGAAATCCAACACTGACGGGTCTCCAAAAGCAGAGGGCCGCGATCGAATGCAAATAGCGGGTTCCAGAATTATCAGTAGGATGTCCCAACAGATCGAGGGTTCATCGCAATACTCGCATCGCGGATCTTTGTTGCCCGTCATCTCCAATGGAGCTGGGCAGAAGACGGGGCTCCAGAGCAAGGTTTGTGTAGGGATATGCCCTTCGGACTCGTCCCCGAGTGTGGATAACTAATTAGCATTTGCAGTCGGCGATGGACGGGGGTTTTCTCCAGTTGACCGGTATCGTAGGCTGAAACAGGCGTACAGCAGGCCGGCCTACGCCCCGGCGGCATGACATCG